AGCCATGCACAGCAGGTCACCTGACCATCCAATCCTTCCAGCAGGTTCCAGCACATGCCAAGGTATACCAGCTACTTCCATGTCATAAAGGCTTAGTCATGTCTCTTGACCAAGCAATGAGCTGGTGCCCTGACACTTAGTCATGTCTCTTGACCAAGCAATGAGCTGGTGCCCTGACACAGGGAAGACCAGAGTACAGCATCAGATGGTTGGGAGCTGAGGAAGGGAGAGAGGGGCACTTGGTTGATGTCTTTGGCTTTTGAGATTTGGATGAGTGCTCTCTTGTGTGTTTGACAGGTCTGCACCACCAGTCATCCTCCTTGCTGGGGGATGTTTGGCTCTGCTCCTGATTGTTATCTTTGGCTGATTTCAGCTGATGGGGAGAGTGATGCAGGCACCAACATTCCCTCTCCTTATGCATGGGGCAGGAGTGTTAGCAGCAGTGGTGGAGTGAGTGAAGTGGGTGGAGACAAATGATGTCAGAGGGAGAAAGGGGAGGAGAGTGAAGAAGAGGGAAGTTTGGGATGGGAGTAGCCACATGATAGGTGACTATTCTGGTAAAGCATCCAGGTAGATCTTGACTGGCACTCTTGGACTGACCAAATGGTTGTTATTTTGTAAGGTGTCACTGCTTTGAGTTATGTCAGGACACACTGCCAGATATCAAAAGTATCCTCAAATCAGGAGCCAAATGAAATTGAGAAGCAGCAAGGAGAGCACAAAAGCTCAAGTGGTGGTCAACAGTAGGGCTGATATAATGAATCTGCCTGAAATGCCTTTAGTCACAGGAGAGGTATAGTGTAGTCACAAATAGTCTGAGGGGGTTGAAGTCTAGGTTTGAGTACCAATTGGAGAGTCAGAGAGGTTTGATGAGAGTTTGATCTAGGTTCATCACTACCTGACAGTGGAACTCCTGAGAGATCAGCTCTAAGGGGCATAAGGCTCCCAGAGCTGGTATATATACATGTAGGAAAATGGAAGTATAATGGAATCAAAAGAGTAACTGTGGGACTGTACAGTTTACCATTGTTTAGGGTGGTGCTTTGAAGTAATCAAGTGGTTTCACTTCAGTGTCAACAGATTTGGGCTAGACTGAGGCCAAAGTGAGCTTTTCAGTGTCAATTCTATTGAACTTGCACCAAAATTGGGCAAACCCTGATAGGTTCAGCTTTGAGGTATGAGTGCTATATCAGACAATAGCAAGAGCCACTCACTCTCCCTGAATTCCCCTCCAGCAGTAAGCAATGACCATTTGAGAACAAGATATACATAGCAGTACTGAGATGTGTTATCAACATCACAACTGTTATGCTTTGTGACAATATTTTGATATCTTGTTGTCCCCTTCCTGTGAAGCATATGCAACAATTACAGAATGATACGATCTGCCGTAATGCCCGCCTGAATTGAAATACCAGCGATACAGTCCAAGATGGAGACGACACCAACTCATCTCTCTCTGCTCTCACCATGATAGTCCTCACGGGAACCACAGGCGGCCTAGGCTCTCAAGTCCTCAAACACCTCCTCCCTCTCCTTCCCCCTTCTCAGATCCTCGTCTCCCTCTACAACCCCTCCGGCGCATCAGAGCTCGTCCGTTCCTCAGGCGTACAAGTCCGCCAGGCGTCGTACAAAGATCCTGCTTCCCTGGACGCTGCCTGGGCCGGAGCAGACAAACTGCTCATCGTTTCCTACCCTTCGATAGCTTATGATATACGTGTTCGAGCGCACAGGAACGCAATCGATGCTGCTAAACGGCTCGGGATTGGTCATGTGTACTATACGTCTCTCGGGTTCGGCAGTGGCTTAGGGGGAGAGAGTAAGGCAGCGGTGATGCAGGCGCACCTGGAGACGGAACGGTATTTGAAGGAGAGCGGGATGAAGTGGACTATCATCCGGGAGGGGATATACTCTGAGAGCTGGCCGCTGTATCTCGGCTTCTGGGGACTGGGAGAAGGGGAGGAAGCGGTCGTCCCGGTTGGTGATGGGCCGGTCGCTTGGGTCAGCAGGGAGGATCTGGGTGAAGCAACTGCGAGGATCATCGCTCAGGTGCGTTGGGGCTGGAGGGTTGGAGGGCGGCTGAACTGAAATACTTGGGTAGGGAGCGTATGCGAACGAAAGCATACTCCTCTCGGGGCAGAAGACATACACTCTCGTCGAGTTCGCGGCGCTTATCAGCCAGATCCTGTCCACCACGAAGCTCCAGCTTCGAGCCGACAGCGTCGAGGGCTACATCCATACACACGAGGGGCCTGGCCCAAGGGGAGATCCCGAGTTCCTTAGACAGTGGGCGACGACGTACGCTGGCCTGGCAGCTGGGGAGTGTGCAGTTGTGGACCCGACTATTGTGAGTGTTTTGGGGAGAGAGCTCAAGTCTGCTGAGAGGACGCTGAGGGAGATGTTGGGTGTTGGAGGGGATGATTCGTTGGACAGGTATGCGAAATGAGGAATGGACGAGGAAAGTGATGTATCATGAACATGTTATAAATGGAACCAAGTTGACTGTGACTCATCTAATAATAGGGAATGTCTCAGAGCTTAGCGCCTGTTGATCGCGTCAAGCGCCCATTCACATCGCAATGTCCACCAACCACCATCTTCCACCAGACAATGCTCACCCTCTCCCGTCTACTCTCCCGCCCTCATCCATATCGCCCACTCCTCGCACACCCCCGCATCTCCGTTCGCTACCTATGGCCAGGCCTGGGAGAGGTTGTCGGCGTGCTCACCGCTCCCGGGCAGACGCTCCAGCAACTGAGTGACGTACGGAAGAAGCTGAAAGCCGTTAGAGCAGAGATGGAGGAAGAGAAAGAGCGGGCGGTGGGTATTTCCTCTTCTGGTCTGCGCTTTGGGGGAGGTGCTGAAAGGGAATGCGGAGTAGAGGTTGCCACCTGTGAGCACGTTCGTCCAGCTGCAGCAGTATTTTCCACGAAAAAAGGAGGAAAGCGTGCTTGAGCGAATACTGCGCGGGCCACCGGAGTTCACAGTCCTCTTCGGTGCCACAAGGTGCGTTATCCCCCCTCCCCCCCAACTGCCCAAGAAGATGAATCGATATTCAGCGTCGGGAAGACGGCAATGCTCCGGCAAATCCTCACTTCACCTGAATACGCCGTCCTCCCGCTAGACCTGCGCATCCCCGGCTCTCTCGGCACTCAATCTACCTACCTCTCCCTCTCCTCCCGGTTCGAAGAGTTCTTCCTCCAGCTGACGGCTTCCCCCGGGTATGGCTGGGATGGCTTGGCCCAGGAGAGGAGTGGGATTCTTGATGGGGAGGTTAGGAGGCCGATGCTGGTCCCTATGACTCCGGCTATCCGGTGGGCCATGGGGAGAGTGGTGAGCGAGATGAAGGCTTGACCCGCGTGAGCAAGTTGACCCCTTGTCTGATGTCGTGCAGTTGCATGAATATTGTCCTGATTATCCAGTGTATTTCAGTGATCTGTTCCTCAAACCCCAGGCTTGAGATGACCATAGTGTAGCAATCGATTTGTGCAACTATACGAGAAACAACAAAGATCACAGCAGTCTACTACAAGTAGAAAGGTTAGCCCAGCGATACGGCAAGCGAATAAGAAGTTTTTTTCAACAAGCGCCTAGTATGTGTGCGATTCTATGCCGACAATCCGGATACCCCGCTGAGAGCCAGTTAACACGCGCCTACTTTATTGGCTGAGCAACTCACCTTCTTCGGGCAATTCTCGGTAATATGATTACAGCCATAAACCTTGATCTCCTTCAAGTCCCCACACTCGTCCTGCAAACCCTTGACGACAAAGTCGTCCACCCCTCTACAGAAGCCGACGTCGACGACCTGGAGGCGCTTCGCCTTGTCGGAAATCTGCATCAGCACTTCCGTACTGGCTTCTTTAAACTGGTTGATATTGAGGTGTGTGAGACCGGCACCGGAGTGGTCCAGCAGCGCTGTGAGGGCTTTGTCACCCAGCTCGGAGTTGCGGGAGATATCGAGCCAGTGTAAAGGTGGAGCGACGAGAGCGTTGAAGAAGGCTGCTACGCCTTCGTCCGTCAGGTTTGGGAGTTCGACGAGCTTCAAGCGCTGGAGTTTGGGAGTATGAGGCGCGATACCCATGATGAGCATGTTGTCCGTCACGAGCTCGTGTCCGGATAAGTCTAGGTGCTCGAGGTTCGCGCCTATGTTGGTGAGGAGATTGATGATAGGCTCGTCTGTGAGGGAGATGGGCAGACTGCCGAGACTCGGGTCAGAGAGGTCTAGCATCGTCAGGTTTTTGAGCGGGTAGAGCAGGATAAGCCAGGGGTCTGCGAGCTGGCCTACTCGGCGGAGACGGAGCTCTGTAAGATTAGGGCAGTTCTCCACGAGGGAGCCGAGGCATTCGAGGGTGAAGCGTGGAGAGTTTCTATTACTGAGCGTGAGAATGGGTCTGCAGCGTCTGATGGAGACTCACGTAATGAGGAATCCTTCCAACTTGTTCCCCACTGTTTCGAAGAAGTTGATCCAAGCTTTGTCTGTCACCAAGAATGGTGCTAGGAGCTCCAACCTCTTCAGCTTGGTCAAGTGCTGAGCCCAGTGCTGGATAACAGTAGCTTCAACACGTCCACAGAACTCGAGGCGCAGATCTACGAGGTTTGGGTTCAGGTTCGCTAGCGCTATCAACCCGTTGGCATCCAGCCCTGTGAGAAGATGAGAGAGGTGCGTCCGGTGCTGAAGGGTACGTACCGGTACAATCATACAGCGTCAAGTACTCGTTTGCTACATCGTAGAACAAAGGTGCTACAGCGGCGTTCCTGAAACGATTCAGGTTTCGATACCTCTGAGACAAGTCGGGCACGGCTCACAGTCTCCGGTTCTTCGAGATGATCTTAGCGATCTTATCCATGTTCAAACTGCCAATATCGCCCAGCGCCTCCACGTCCTCAATATGCTGGGAGATAGTCTCGAGGCACAGTTCCGCCAGCGTGGGGACAGGATCTTTCACCTCGAAGAAGACGATCTTGCGTTTGTCTTCCGGGGCTTTCCGCTTGCGCGGGCCTTGGGAGGGCTTGAACGGGTCTTGCCCCGCTGCTTTCGTGCATGCGTGACAGAGGTACCCCGGGCCAGGATCAGCAGGGCGCGTATACGCAGTCTGCACATTGGTAAGCCCACATCTCCAGAGACAGAAGACGACGCACAACAGTAAACATCTTCCCACACTCCGCACACTCATCCCGATCCCCCACATTCGGCGTCTTCCCCCCCGCCCCGCTCTTGGCAGTATACTCATCCTCCTCCTCCGGATCATCCCCATTCAGCCTGCGCTTTTTCAGCTTCTCCATCTGAGCTTTAGCTTTAGCCTTCGCTTTGGTCATCTCTTTTTCGGACATCTTGCGTTTGCGGCCTTTGGTAGGTGCAGGCTCGGGCTCTTCGTCCCCGTCCAAATTGTCAGAAGTGTACCCGTTCCCATTAGCGTTCATATTCTATCCAACCCGATCAGGCAATCCGATCACCAGGAAATAAACGACGTACGGCAGCACTACTGTTGCGCGCGCTTCTCCTAGGACGGCTCGGGCCCGCTTCGGCACTCTCCTCCGGGACAGGCACAGGAGCAGCCGCACTGGTGCTAGATTCCGCCTGGGGCGGCTCTTGCTCCTGCTCTTCAGGCGTAGATTCCTCATTATCATCGCCCTCTGTCATGAGCCGACGGGTGTACCCAGACAGCGCGCGGGCGGTGATACCTTGTTCCTACAACCCGGATGAGTGGTGCTACAGGATATTGGTAGAGAGACGTACTCGGAGGAACTCGGTCAACGCGCTCGTCGGTCCTCGAACTCTGTTATTAGCAGCAGCTCGTCTGGACATGGTTGGCAGCAAGAAGGGGGTAAGGAGTTACAGAAGGTTGGATTGGGAGATAGGGTTAAATGGGTAGATTTTGGGTGGTGACTGTGCTGGTTTGGCGCGTCGCGTCACTCATTACGGACCCCGAAGGTGGGGACCCCGTCAGGAATAAGAGGTCATTAATTACAATTGAAAGTCTGGTATCTATGGTGTATGAAGTTGTACAATGGATACAGGATCGACTCCCAACATGTAGCTCTGTTTCTGGAGGGGTTGATGTGACATCGGCCGTAGCTCCTTGACCGAGCAAGGAAAGCCATGACTAATATCCCCGAACCATGATTGCGGGCAGGAGAAAAATCGAAGCCAAATTGTACAAACATCAAAGACTACAGATATTGCACAAACATCAAACAGCAAACAGCAAACTACCGAAAAAGGGAATTTTCTTCTTTGAGCGTCGTCCAGTGCTTTTGGTGTTAACAGCCGCCTCCTTCAGCTGACACAAGCGGGTGTTAGACATCACCCGTTCTTGTACGCTGCGAGAGCTCCAGCTCCATAAGGGGAGAACGTCCTAATAGTTGGGAGTATCGAGCTGCAGCCCAATTTCCAAGCCTGCCAGCCTCGCACCTGCCCCCTGCCCCTCCCTGCCCCCCTCCCCCAGTCAGTTCTTCCTCTCCCTCTCCCCATCCCTCTCCCCCCCTTCCCCAACCCCCTCCGCATCCCTTACCAACCAAGCATACCAAAACCCCACGATCGGCACCGTCGCGCAGTGCCAGGCTGCATGGGCGTCCATTAGCCCCATTAGAGGGGGGAAGTCTAGCAGTTCGAGGGACATCGTGCTCATTGTCAGTAGCACGAAGGCGAGTGGTTTCCAGGAGCGTTTGACGAGAGGAGGCGGGAAGATGGTGAATGGGAGCGTGTGCCCGGGGAAGGGGGAGGTGCGAGGGAGGTAAGTCGCCAGTAGCCAGAGGAAGTTATGTGCCACCCCTAGGAAAAGACAAAAACGCATGTTGTACCCGTAGTCGAACCTCGGCAGTCCGCGTACCACCTTCGGCAGCCAGCTGAGGTAGCTCACATGCGCCCCAAACACCAGTCCCAGGCCTGCTGCTAGCCTGAGCCTCCAGGCCCGGCGGGCGGGAGTGTAGAGATGCAGGAGACGGATGAGGGTGTAGAAGAGCGAGTAGAGGAGGACGAGCGCTGCTGAGAAGTAGTCGAATTTTTCGGTTAGGGGCGTGTCCCGTGTGTGGAAGATGCAACTGCAGAACCAGGCGTTGACCCCTAGGTAGGCGTACCATTCCATGTATTTCCTGAGCGGTGAGGGGTGCGCGCCGGCGTGGGCGTTGGCGTGGGCGTGGGCGGGGACGGGGGAGTTGGCATGCAATCGACGGCGCACGAGTCGCAGACCCCGGATATGCATGTACCCATTTGCGACACTCGCGAGTACGCTGATCGGTTCCTGCGCACCTAGGAACCTCCGGAATGGCCATTTGCCGTAATACTGTTCCTTCCTCCCATCCTTCCCCCCACTCCCGCCTCCACTCCCGCTGCCGCTGCCGCTCTTCTGCGCCTCAACAGCATGCATACACGTATACCTACAATCATCAGCACAAGACCAGAGAGTAAGCCGGAGTGCGACAGGTAAGGGCGGAGCGGAGGGGGAGGTGCAGAGGGAGGTGCAGTCTGTGAGGCAGGACTGGAATGCTGGGGAACGGTCGCCTGAGGAGGCTAGGGCTGGGAGTGCGGGGATGAGGACGAGTAGGGGGAGGAGGGGGGAGAGATGCATGGGTATCAATTGCTGGGTGCAGCGTTCTGGGCACTGGCGCTGGCGCTGGTGGTTGGATAGTAGTAAGCAGTAAGCGCCCAAATGCCTCCGCCGCCCTCCTTCTCATCCAGCCACCATCTCCCCCCTCCCTCCCTCACTAACCCGGATGCCAACCCCCATCGTACAAACCTTTTCCTCCAGCAAACATTTCACTTCCCTCGGGTCTGAGCGGACTGAGTATGAGATGTATAGGATTGGACCGCATTCCAGGCGTTCTGTGGATTATTTTTTTACTAAGGGGGTGGGAGATTATCATTATGGGGTGCGTGAACTAAGAGGAGTGAGTGCGTGCTCGTGCTCGTACTGATACTTTGGTGGGATGTGGTAGGAAGGACATCCGATGAAACCCCACAGACTGTCGATCACCAACTCCCTCGTAATAGGGTACGGCCTGCACGAGCACATCGACAACTTCCTCTGTCCGCAACCCGCGACCGTCAGCCAGCTCGAGACGTTCCACGACAGCGACTACGTGGACTTCCTTTCCAAGCTCACGCCGCGCAATGTGGAGGAGATGTTCCGCTTACATGGGGATATGGTCAATTCCTCCGAAGACTGTCCTGTGTTCACGGGGTTATTCGAGTTTTGTAAACAGTATGCCGGGGCGAGTATCCTCGCTGCTAGGAGGCTGGGGGAGGAGAGCTGTGATGTTGCGATCAATTGGACTGGAGGACTGCATCATGCGAAGAAGAGAGGCGCGAGCGGGTTTTGTTATGTGAACGATATCGTGCTCGCTATCCAGCATTTGCTGAGGTGCGCCCGCTGTCCCCCGTGTGCTCGAGTACGAGTCGTCTAACGCCCGCCCGCAGGAAATACGCTAGGGTGCTGTACATCGACATCGATATACATCACGGGGACGGCGTAGAGGAAGCGTTCTACAACACGAACCGAGTTCTCACTGTCTCGTTCCACAAATACAACGGCGAGTTCTTCCCCGGCACCGGGAAGCTAGACGACAACGGCTCCGGGTTAGGGAAACACTTTGCGCTCAACGTACCGCTCAAAGACGGGATCGATGACGAGTCGTACGTGACGATGTTCCGGGCTGTGATGGAGCCTGTTATTGCGACTTTCCGCCCGTCGGCAATTGTCCTCCAGTGCGGGGCAGATAGCCTGGGGTGCGACAGGCTAGGCGCGTTCAATTTGAGCATCAAGGCGCATGGAGAGTGTGTCCGGTTTGTAAAGAGCTTTCATCTTCCGTTGCTCGTCTTAGGCGGAGGAGGGTACACGGTATCCAACGTTGCGCGATGCTGGACGTACGAGACGTCTGTGTTGCTAGGCGTGCAGCTCCCAAACCAGCTCCCATCGACAAAATACGACCGGTATTTCCTGAACGATCGGCGACTGCACCCTCCGCTAGTGAGGAACGTAGAGAACCAGAATACGCGGCAGTCGTTGGAGAAGATCAGGATTTCTGTACGAGAGAAGTTGCGGTATATGGATGGGGCGCCGAGTGTTCAGATGCAGGTTTTGCCCCCGGATTTGACGAGGTGGTTGGAGGATGAGGAGGAGCGGGAGGGGGAGGGGGAGAGGGAGAGGGAGGATAACCCGAAGATGCTTGGAGAATGGTATGATCCTGAGTCGTTTGCACCTTCTGGGGAAGGGAAGACTCTGGAGACGGGCAGTGCGAGTGTGATGTATGAACCTGTTGTGTTGCCTAAACGGGGTAAGGCGAGGAAGGCTGGTGGGAGGAAGAAGGTGGTGGAGGAGGGAGAGGAGGGCACTGGGGGGAGTGGGACACCTAGAGGGAAACGGAGGGTTGTTAGACGTAAGAGTGGGAAGAGGAAGGAGGATGAAGAGGTTGATATTTGATGTAGTAGGCTAATGTATCCTAGTTTGTTTACTGTTGGATACGGGTGTAGGGAGTGTTATCGCCGAACCGACGGAGGAATGATAACCCTCATACGTCAGCAGGGGATATCGGGGGTTCATTGGGTACACGCTCATCGGGTAGGGACTTGGGTGGATGAGTGCTCTCTCTCTTCTCACTTACAGTCTCGCCGTCATCGTCGTCATCCCACCCTCTACATCGTCATCCATCCCCGCAGATCGCAACCCATCATCGCCGATGTCGACCCACCCACCGCTCTCACCCCTCCCTACTCAGCATACACTCCCTTCACCCCCTCTACACCATCCAAGTCCGATCCATCTTCCTGCTCCTAAACCACTTCGATTGCCATTCCCTTTCCATTCCATTCCTGTTGCTGTGGGGAGTGGGGAGGATAGACTGAGGGAGGCAATGGCAGCACTGTCGTTCTCCTCAGACAGAGTGGACGATCAACATACTCAACATGCTCAGGATCCCCAACCGGATTATATCCTCGAACTGTTGTCTATCTTTCACAGACCAATCCATTTCCCTCTCCCGTACACCTTACAGCCTCATCAGCACCCACAACACTCTCAACCTCAACCTCAACCTCAACCTCAACCTCAACCTCAACCTCAACCTCAACCGCATCAGCCGCACCCCCAACCCAACCCTCATCCCCATCTCCAACGAGCCCTCACACTCCCCTTACGCAAACCTACACCTCCACCCCGTCCATTAGCTCCTTTTAGGGCAAAACGTCTTCTCTCTCCATCTCCTTCCTCACCCCACTCCCGCTCACCCCACTCGCCTCACCCGTACGCCCACTCGGCTCCCCATTCCCCAACAGAGCGGAAAGCTCCTTACTGGAACCCAGGACCAGAGCTAAGGGCTAGAAGACGTCGTCCCCTCCCTTCCAGCACCGGGGGAGGGGGAGGGGGGAGGTCGTTGTCCCTCACGCTCAAGACCGCGCGGGATGCGGAGAGTTTGGATAGCTCGGGACAGGTGTCGCCCTTTTCGGGTTGGTCGACTCCTTTGACGCCTTTGACTGCCCCTGGTGGGTCGGCCGGGTGGGGTTCTGAGGGCGGGAGCGCGGAACATGTGCCGGGAGAGGGCGTGCCCCCAGAGAGGGAGAGGGGCCAGTTCGACCGTCAGGCTGGACATGGAAGGACTCGCTCGTTGGACGTTCCGTTCGCGCGGGAGAAGGGTGAGAGTGCTGAGCCTGAGGAGATGAGCGTGGGCGTGGGGGAGGTTGGGGTTGGGTTGGGATACCAAGAGGGAACGCGCTCGTCCAAGGAGGAGGGGAGTGCGTACTCGACCTCGCACATCCTCCCTCTCGGAAATCGAGTTTCCTCACTTGGGCAAATGGAAACGGCCGCTGACGCTGACGCCGAAGCTGAAGTGCGTCACCCCCAGCCGCAGCCCCAGCCCGGTGTTGGGAAGGGCTTGCAGGTGTATGCGTATGAAGGCTCTGCACTTGGGGCACTTGAAGGGAGTGTCCGTGTCTGACCTGACGAGATGCCAGTGGGCGAGTGCGTTGCGTTGCGTTGTGTTTTGCGTTGCGTTGTGTTCAACGACTGGTGCGCTGCCTGCGGAGGGGATGGTCTCTAGCTCAGCACTGGAGGGGTGGACAGCGACAGCGACAGCGGACTTGCACTTGTCCGACTGACTCCTGAGGTCCCGGCTCTAGCTCTTGACTCATCTTGCACCGACTAGTACTACCCACCTGCTGGCCGTACTGGCCGAGCTCTGAGAGTGTCGGACCGGACCCCACACCACACTGTAAGGTCGAACACTTCGACCGCTCTCGAGCCTGAGGCCTTCGATCGCTGGCCACTGGATAGGGACGTTTTCTTGCTCTTTTTATCTATCTTGTATTCCTTTTCTGCACTCTATTCCACATTACTTGGGTTCTTGATCCCCCCCCCCTTTTTTTTTCCCCCTAAGGGGCCTTGCATCCCGACTTGCACCCCGCCAGGCGCACGAATACACACACGATCTGCTTGTTACTGTATATCCCCATTCCCATTCCCACCCCATTCCCATCACCCCCCTCCCCCTCCCCCTCCTACCCATTTCTCATTCAGCTCCTCTGTCCACCCACCCCTTCGTCTTTCGTCACCTTTTGTCAGATCTCGCCTTACATGTCAAGAAACGAAAATCAAACCTTATGAAATCTCATCCACCCGAATCAATATCCAAACTCGTGTCTCTTACAGTTTTCAGCTCTGTCCTTTGCCCTGTCCCGAGTCATAGTCGTTACGGGCACAGAAACGATCAGCTTTCAACCTGCACTGGAGTTCTGATTCTTGATTGTCTTCTGATGGTCAGCAGCTTCCGTAGACTGCCACAGAAAGTTGATATCCCCCGGGCTGGGCTGTGGCTTCCTTTCCTGTCGTTGTCTTGTGTGCTTGGCCGAGAAGTGGCTAAGTGTTTGACTAGACGACCCCCCTCGCCAGGTGGGTAACAGGGCTAGACAGTGCGCTCGTGTTTCACTGATCCTCAGATACACCGATGTTCCTCTGACGGCTGTCCGTCCTCCAACTCTTGTTCGGCGTAAGAATGCGCCATGTGTTCATAGACACGGGATCCAATATTGGAACAGGTACTGCATTGTCCCGACCCTCCGGGCCATATCCGAGGAAAATCGACATTTTAAATTCAGATTGAGTAGACTTTGTCCAGGTCGAGCTTGAGTGCAGGGTAAAGGTTAACGTGAACCGAGACCGCCGAGCAAACGGATTATTTATCAGCTGATTGACTCGACAAACCGCGTCGGGCTCGGCGACGCTCCTGCTCTCCTTCATAAGGGTCTGTCATCCTGCCTTCCCCACTCCCAACGCTACTATTACAGCAGCGATGCCCAACCCAACAGACGACGCGAAATGCAAAGTCGCCGCCGACTGGACACGCGACCTAACGATCCAAGGCTGGCGCAAGTGGCAGCCGGAGATGCACGCCGGCTCAGAGGAGACATCGAGGCTTATCATCAACCTCGGCGGGATCGACTCTGGTATGCGGGTGCTGGATCTGGCCTCGGGCTCGGGGGACCCGGCGCTCAGTATCGCACATGTTGTTGGAGGAGAGGGACATGTGATTGCGACGGATATGAGTGAGGGGATGCTCAGGATCGCCCAGGACTGTGCGGAGAAGGAAGGGTTGGGGAACCTGAGTTTCCGAGTGGCGGATATGGAGCAGCTGCCGTTTGAGGATGCGTCGTTTGACAGAGTCACCTGCAGGTTTGGGATCATGTTCGTGCCTGATCATGTACGGGCGATGAGGGAGATGCTGCGTGTGCTCAAGCCTGGGGGGAAGGTTGTTCTGGTTTGCTGGGCACATTGGGATCAGCCGTTTCACGCAGGGAACATCGCTATCATCAAGCGCGGACTCGGGCCCGCGCCTCCTCCGGGAACACAGGCGCTCACTCCCTTCCGGTTCCAGGAAGCAGGCACACTGGGCACGGCGATGCGCCAAGCGGGGCTGGAGAACGTCCAGGAGCAAGAATGTCGCGTGCCCTGGGACTTCCCGGGGAGTGCAAAACGTTTCTGGGAGATGTGGTACGATATCGCTGCGCCTTATAGGTCGATTATTGATGGTCTTGAGCCGAAGGAGAGGGAGGAGTTTGTCAGGGAGGTATTGGAGGTGTGGACCCCGAGGGAGAATGGGCCGTTCTTGCATTTGGGAGTGAGGATCGTTGTTGGCGTTGGGGAGAAGGCGTAGGTTAGTGCATCTTGTTGGACTGGCTAGGCACATGCTTATGCTTGCGTGTAGGGATTGATACTTGTTCGCATTGGAATTGTATCAGGATAAGGTCTGAGGATGCAAAGATTTTTGCAAAGAGAGGTTCTGCGTAAACGTGTGATGAACTCCGCAAACCGTTCCAAGGTTCACTCTGCAAGCCGACAGAAAACCTCAATCTGTCTAGATGCAATAAGCTTCTGGGAGAACGCAGATGATATTTGCAGCTGTTGGGAGCTATTTGGACTCGAGGTAAGATGCGCGGGGAGTTATTCGGGCTGTTGAAGACGGATATATCTCGGTTATAAGGCATCGCTCTCTGACCCTTGAAAGTAACGACTCGTGAAGGGTAGCGCACGTTGACTTCTGCATCTGACGAATGAGGCTTCCACACGAATCTGATAGGAACTGCCCGGTGCTGGGGGCGCACTCGGGCGGTCCCGGTTGAATGCACGAACAGGAAGAGACGAGCGGTTGTCCAGAGTAGAAAAAGAAATTTTATCGGCTAGATCACGAGAAGATCTGAAGTTTGACAGGTAAAGGAGATAGAAAGGGTTTTGTTGGAGAGGATGACGAGTCAACAATGAGTTTCATTAATATTGATGTTGAGACGTGTTGACAGTGACGTCTGACAGGAGCACCGTTGCGTACCCGAACCCCGCGGGCTGGCCTAGGGTTCGGGGGCCGAAATCGGTGGAGGTCTGTGCGCAAGATTGTGCAGGAGAGAGAGAGAGAGAGATGGTTTGGTTATAGATGTAGAGATGTTATATGTGTGGTATATCATGTTACGAAGGTTTGGCGAATGAGCGCCGAGATTACCGAACAGAAGAACGGAGCGAGTATATAGTTATTCAGTTGTATGTAACTTTGAGCGGCTGAGGCTCGGCGGGTGAGGATGGATGTTACCCTGTCGGAATCGGGATATTTGCAAAGGAGGATGGATTGAAGGGCCCTGTCGGCGGAGTGTGCCGAGGGGTGTGTCGGTGGTTCCGGTTGCTTATCTCGCGTAGGGTGTTGTGAGACTGGTTATCTGGTACATGTGCTTGTGTTTGAAGGGAGGAGGAGGAGGTGGTGGTGGTAAAGGGAGAAGAAGGAGTGGCGCATGTGGTTGAAAGAAGTGTAGGGGACTAGAGGAGGAGGAGGAAGAAGGGGCGTTCAAAGCGCCTTCGACGACACCATCACCTTCCTAATTAGTCACTGTTCACTCAGCAACCGCTGCGCTATCATCTTCTCCACTTTGCTGCTTCTCATTGTTCAATTCATCACATCATCATCCTCTTCTACAATTCAATTAACAATGACTGCACATCATCCACCTCAGTCACTACCTTCACCCGCTCAACGTCTACTACAACAACATCAACAACATTCATCTGCAATCCTCATAAACTCTTCTGCAGGCGCACACCAATCAGCAGTAGACGCTCCAAGTCCACTACAGTCACTCCATTCTAGCGCAGCGGAGAGCGTCATGACAGGTACGTTTCTCTCTCAATTCACCTTTTCATTCAACCACCACGAACAACTTGAAATCGTGGAGGTTCTGCTTCTCCGGTTACCACCGGCACCCCTGAGCGCCTCGAGGCGCCCTCATTCGCCACTCTTCCCGCGCTTACACGGACATCCTCCCTCACCGGGGGGGTCGTGCGCTCCTCTCCCTACTTGCTTCTCATTCCCCTGCTGCTACTCTATGACGGATGTCTACTAACCTTGCCTTCTGTGCAGAAGAAGAGGAGGACTGGCAGGTGCGCGTCATACACTCCGTTATGTGCAATAGCTCACAGAACGTAGGAGTACGTCCGCGGAGGATATCATCCCGTGCACATAGGCGACAGCTTCTCCGATGGGCGGTATGTGGTCGTGCGGAAACTAGGATGGGGGCATTTCTCGACCGTGTGGCTGGCCAAGGACCAGAAGTTCGTCCCCTCCCTCCACCCGTACTTTCACGCGTGTTTACCCCACACAGGCTAAATCGACACGTCGCGCTCAAAGTCGTCAAGTCCGCACCGCGATACACAGAGACGGCGCTAGACGAGATCAAGCTCTGCCAACGGCTGATCAGCGCCGACCCCGCCCACCCAGGGCGAAACCACGTCATTTCCTTCCTGGACCATTTCCGGCATCGCGGGCCGAACGGGACACACGTCTGTATGGTCTTCGAGGTGCTTGGGGAGAACTTGCTTGGACTCATCAAGCGCCATCAGAATAAGGGCGTGCCGCATCATATGGTTAAGCAGATTGCGAAGCAGATCTTGCTCGGGTTGGACTATATGCACAGAAAGTGCGGGGTCATACATACCGATCTTAAGCCGGAGAACGTCCTTGTCTGTATCGATAACGTCGAGGAAGTGATCCGTGCCGAGTTGGAGAATACGCCGACAGCCGTGCCGACAAAGCTTGTTGGTGTACCTCCTTCCCGCGGTAGAGGAGGAAATCAGACCCCTCGCCCAGAAGGGATCTTCATCACTGGTTCCCAGCCACTGCCTTCTCCCAGCAGCGGCAGTTACTCGAGCCAGTCCCAGCTCGACAAGTTTAGCTTTGGGATGTCCAGGATTAGCGATGGGGTTACCGCCCCCGGAAGTGCGCCAACCGCTGGAACGCGACCCTCCGCAGTGGGGAGAAAGACTGCAAGCGGTACATCGAGCGGGACCGGCACGCCCGCTGAGCCGGCAGAGGACGCCCCGAGCTTCGAGAAGCAGAAGACGGCACACAAGCCCCCTCCCGGCCCTAGCTTGCTCTCCCAACAAGCGCAAGCCGCTGCTGCTGCTCTCCCCGTAGCCTCTACCTCCGCTGTTCCCCGCGCGCATGTCGCTCCTGGTTCCGCGTCGTCTTCTCGCCCCGCGACGGCCGAACCGGGGAGCGCGATGTCGATCGATTCTCCCGGTTTGGGGGGCTTGCAAAGCCCACCAACGCCGTTCGACGTCGGTTCCCTGCAGAGCTTCCGGAGCACAGGTAGCCTGCTCCCAGAAAGGATCACGGTGAAGATCGCGGATCTGGGCAACGCTTGCTGGGTAGACCATCATTTTACGGACGATATACAGACGAGGCAGTATCGTTGTCCGGAGGTGATCCTGGGTGCGAGGTGGGGCACGAGCGCGGATATGTGGAGTGCGGCATGCTTGGTGGGTCATTATCTCTAGGCTGGGTGGGACTGTGCTCATGCGTGCGTAGATATTCGAGATGATCACCGGCGGGGACTATCTCTTCGACCCAGCAGTCGGGAACAAGTACACGAAAGACGACGACCATATGGCGCAGATCATCGAGCTTCTTGGGGACGTCCCGCGCTCAGTGGCATTTTCGGGGAAATACAGTTCCGAGCTGTTCAAGCGGAATGGGGAATTGCGAAATATCCACAAGCTCAGGTTCTGGCCCCTCTCGGCTGTGCTGCACGATAAGTACATGCTGAGCAAGGAGGAGGCCGAGAGGATCGGGGATTTCTTGGGGCCTATGTTGAGGTTGCACCCGGATAAGAGGGGTAGTGCGGAGGAGATGCTTGGCGGTGAATGGCTGAAAGGGGTGGACGACGTGCTCCCTCTAGAGGCGGACGAGCTTATGCCCGACAGGGAGGAGCTGAGCACGTATTCCCTCGCTGCTGTACCGGTGCCTACGGGCGGGCAGAGGGAACCCTCAAGAGAGGAACAAGAGCAGATCATCGTCCGCAGCGCCCTGAAGCCTGTGGATGATGCGGAGGTACTCGAGCAGCCTGCGGAAGAGAGTTCGGGCTCGAGGAGCGGGGAAGGGGAGGAGGGGGCTGCTGGGGCGGCGGGGACGGCGGGGACAGCCGGTGTGGATGGGAAAGGTGCTGCTCAGCGGGCGACTGTCGCGCCCCAGCGGACTAATGCGACGGCGACTTCGGCGGCCGGGGGGAGTGCCCCTCTGAGTCCGGCGCCTGTAGCTGCGTCGGCATCGACCTCTACTCCTGCGCCGTCCACCTCTGCCGCACCGATAACCAACCGGCGGACGAGCGCTGTTTTTGCTCAGTAGTGGATTTCTGCGCTCCGGGTTTGCGCTGCCCCATTGAGGCAGTAGGGGACATGAGGCAAGGGACATGGAGCAAGACGCAAGGACGAAGACACTCTACTCTCATAATTCTCCTAATCGCGAACTCTAGACCGGAGCTGGACTCCTGATCGTGCCTTGCGCAGCGGCACGCTGGCACTGGACGACCAATGTCTGCGCGCTTTCACCTATCGATATCTAACTCTTCGTCCGCGCTCTTCTGCTCCTTGGACCAGTCTATAGACTCCAATTCTTCGTTCTTCAATCTCTTGATCCTTTTCTCTTGGTTCTCGTTGTGCACAAGAAAGGGTGTACTACTAGTGCAATTTTTTTTCTCTTGTTGTTGTTTGTTGTCTTTCGGTTTGGGTTTGTAGCCTGACTGGGTGTAGACAGGAGGGGGTTGAGCGTGTAGGACAAAGGGGAAAGCAGTAACTGATACCTAATAGAATTCCTAACTTGTTTTTGTTTTGGTCAGCGTGGTTCCCGTAGTATCTTCGGTGAAGCGATGGCCGTGGTTCTTGGAGGAGGTCTAAGAGAGAGGTGAACATCACGTGACTCCCCGGTATGTGTCTCTGGCCGAGTTGCCGATCCGATATCCTCCCGCTCAGGGTCCCTCGCCACATGGTTGTCGCCCCACCCCAGCGCCTCGTTGAGCCCGTATGGAAGGGTCGAGGGTCCATTACATTACGTCCTTCATCCCTTTCTCTCCTCCTCTCCGCCTCCTCCTCTTCTCTGTATTATTCACTCCTGTTTGAAGGGGTTTAGGTCTGACGACCTGCATACAAAGGACTTAGACTGCTACGTCTGCTATCAGTTTCAATCTCAAGAACCAATCGACTTGGTGATTTCATTTTATCAATAACACCCTTCTTGATGCCCCAACCACCATCGCATTCCCCCGCCACGGGAGCTCCCTGCCCACCCCATCTTCTCCATACCGTCGGCGGCCACTTCGTTGACTCTAGCGGTCGAACCCTCCTCCTTCGGGGCGTCAACCTCTCCGGAGGCTGCAAGCACCCACCCTCACAACCATCATGGAAACGGGATGGGTTCTTCGAGCTCGCCGAACAGGGAGGAGAGAGCTTTGTTGGCAAACCCCTGAACTTGGAGGATGGAAGTGCTGATGTCCATCTGGCGAGGCTCAAGGGTTGGGGGTTCTCGGTCATCAGGTATGTCATCACCTGGGAAGCACTGGAGCATGAGGGACCGTGAGTTTTTTCCTCTACAGAAGCGGATGCAGCTGATATGGTGTAAAGGGGGAAGTATGACTACGAGTTCATGGATTATACCGTTAGAGTTCTGAGGAAGATCAAGGAGTTTGGGTTCAAGGTCTACATGGACCCGCATCAGGATATCGTGAGGCTGCTTTATTCTGCGTCAACCACTCACTAATGCGACTTAGTGGTCCCGTTTCTCTGGTGGTTCCGGTGCCCCCATATGGACGCTACATGCCTGCGGTCTCCAACCACGACATTTCAGCGCGACACACGCTACGCTGCTGCACTGCGAACATCCCTCCACAAAAGAACGCGATCCTCAGAGCTTCCCCGCGATGATTTGGAGCACCAACTACCAGCGACTCTGCGCCCAACACCTCTTCGCGCTCTTCTTTGGCGGGCGGGACTTTGTCCCCAAGTGCGTTATCGACGATCTCAATATCCAAGATTGGCTGCAGGGGCATTTTCTCACGGCTGTGTCCAAGCTCGCCGAGAAGATTCGCGATGCGGGCGATCTACTCGACATTTGCGTCATTGGTTGGGACCCCATGAACGAGCCCTCAGAGGGCTTCATAGGTCACCCGGACCTGCGCGAGGTACCCAAGGAACAGACTCTCCGTAAAGGTACATGTCCGAGCGCGATGCAGTCCCTCCGTCTTGGTATGGGGGACAAGGTCGAGGTCGACTACTACGAGTTCGGGAGCATGGGACCCCGCAAGAGTGGCACAGTCGTCATTGATCCTAGTGGACGGAACTGCTGGCTATCTCCAGACGACGAGCCTGGTGGGCACAGTCGCTGGGGGTGGCACAGGGCTGAAGCGTGGAAGCTCGGCATCTGCCCTTGGGCGCTGCACGGCGTCTGGGATCCCAGCAGCGGGATATGTCTTCGGCCAGACTACTTCGCGCACCCACCTGACAGACCAGAGAAAGAAGTCGTTTTCGTCCGTGATTACTGGCTCCCACACTATCAAGAGTACACACGCCGCATACGCGCCATCCACCCGGAATCGATCATGTTCCTCCAGCCGCCAGTGTTTGTCCGCCCTCCCCGAATTCCGCAGGAAGTCCTCAAAGGCCGCGCGTGCTATTCCCCACACTATTACGACGGGCTTACGCTCATGACGCGCCATTGGAACTGGTTCAATGCTGATGCCCTTGGCCTTTTGCGGGGGAAGTACGCTAGCTACCTCCAGGCAGTCAAGATTGGGGAGGGGATGATTCGCCGGTCCCTAAGAGAGCAGCTCGCTGTCTTCAGGGAGGACGTCAAGCTCACCATGGGAGAGGAGTACCCCGTTCTCATCGGGGAGATCGGCACTCCATTCGATATGGACAATCGCCGTGCCTACGGATACACCGACAATGGACGATATAAGGGGGACTACTCGTCTCAGCAGCGCGCCCTCGACGCGAGCCTCAACGCCGCCGACGGGGGAAACATGCTCGACTACACTATCTGGACCTACGTCACAGACCATAGTCACGAGTGGGGCGACGGATGGAATATGGAGGACTTGAGTTTGTACAGCGCTGATGACCTGCGTGAAGGGGCGTGGGGTAACGACCACGCCTCTGGGATCTCAAGCGCCAGCAGCTCCGTCACTAACCTCACGGCTGTGCAGCCTGGTCCGACTACCCCACTGCTTGCTAGACAGCTACCGCTGGACCCGAACATGTCCACCCTCAGCCTGGCGCTCCATAACTCGCCTTACCTCGGCTCTGTCCCCGCGGCTGACTACGCGACCGGAAACCTCTATCGCTTCCTCACCAATGGAGCGAGGGCGCCAAGAGCATTCGCACGGCCCTACCCGGTTGCAACAATCGGCACACCAAAGGACATCGAATTCGATGTTGCGCGCGCGGATTTCAGGTTGACGGTAGTGGTTCGACCAGAAGATGCACCGCCGAAGCGGATGCCAGACGCCGACAGGGAGGACGATGATGACGAGGAAGTGGCAACGGAGGTATACATCCCCCTGGTGCATTATGCGAGCGACACACTCCTCCGACGCGGAGAGAAAAGGTCAAGGAACGGGAATGGTATCCCGCGAATGTCGAGATCCAGGAGCGGCTTGTGGGCGTTCCAGCGGAGTCAGTCGCAACTCAGCCTGTCCGGCGCAGGAGGAAAGGAGAAGATGGCCCGTTCGGCGCTCTCGCTCCAGATACCTGTAACTGGATACGTAAACGGGAGCGGTTTTGTCAGCTCCAATGGAAGCGGGCAGCATCCTCTCGCGCAAACCGTGCCTGTCACCCCCCTCAATGACTCTCCCGTTTCACCATCACTCGAGGCATCGCCGATTCTTCCTTCCAGCCTCAATGTCTCCTCTGCTACTCTTGTCTCCGCGCTCGTGGACGTCGACGTTGACGTCAGCGAAGGCAAATACGATATCGAAGGTCAGACGCTCAAGTGGTACTACCCTGTACCAGCTCCTGGCACAGACCCCGTCACATATACCCTTCGCGTGCGCAGGCGGTTGGGGCCGATTAAGCTGACTGTGCAAGAAGAGGAGACCCTCTGGCAGCAATGTTGGAATCCCGAGCAAGGGCCATGTGCGGTCTCATGACTATATGGTCTGCGGACTGCACTGTTGATGTTTGCCGAGGAGCAAGCTCATGTTGCCCTTTTCGTCATCCTGCATATTACGGTTTGGTTCATGGCTGACTTGATTGACTTTGCATACCTGTAGATGCCCCTTATTTCTCATGCTTGATTCCTGGCATTATTGATGCTGTATTATGAGCGTCAATCGATGCTATTGTACGTTGTATATTACGTCTGTCCTCGATCTACAGGGGACGACAGGCTCCCCAGCCCAGAGGGATTCTCCTCCGGCGTGGGTACATCCCACCGCACAGGATTCCCGCTCTCCTCTGCGTCTCGTAGATGATCTCGTATTGAGGAAGCTATCTGAAGAGGCGGCGGGCGCTGCACCGGCACGCTGTCGCTCATCTCGATCCAACCCCCTCGCAGACCCAGGTCGAGGATCTGGGAAAGTACCCTTGCCAGCTCGTCGTTCCTATCATGAAATTAGCATTGATACCATCCAACCCGCAGCACGAAGCAACATTACCGGAGCGTCTCCTCCTTCCATCTCGCGTCCTCTCTACTATTCTTCTCTTCTAGCTGCTTCTGCACCTCCGAAATTCGACCGCTAAGCTCGTCCAAATGATCATCCACTTTGTCCCTCCGCTTAGCCTGGTTACGTGAGCTGCGCCAGCTCTCTGCCAGGATTAACCCTGCGGCCACAGCGAATAGGAATCCTTCGGCAAGTGTATTGGCACCATTCGAAATCGCTCTGAGTACGTATTAGCTGCATGCAGCAAATATAGGTATGAGACAGCGCACTTTGCCTCACTCAACGGTTTGGTGTGCTTCGGATTCTCGCCTAGCAAGTTAGCTCGCAGTCTGCGGTGATCACGGTTGTCAGCGAACGGGCAGGCATCCAGGAGGTACACGCGCCTACCGGACCTCGCTCCTGTACATGGCTTGGGCCAGAGATATACATATCCCGCGGAAGGTGGGGTGCCTGTCATACCAACCTGGGGTCAACGAGCGGCACGTCAGAGTGAGGTGCAGACATTACTCTTGCGCTTGCTTTTTGATCATGTTGCTTATTGGCTTGGCGATTGTCTGTTTACACCCTCGTGTTACCATCATGGTTAGATTTACGGCACGGTTGGAGCTCACTCGGATAGCAAGCGTAGCAATCTTCGCGCTGGCCATGTTCTAGGTCGAAATGGGGGTTAACGGCGGTATTAGGTGCAGAAGCAAGGTGTCGACACCAGCCCTCTACATTAGGTGTTGGGTGGAAGGCGAGTCCATGTGCAACGCGTCGACGTTCGGCAGACCAGCACACCGCTTCCGGTGTCTTCCGTACCCTCACGAGTTTCCACCGAAACGAAGCTGAAGAAATCCTTGTCCACAAAGAGAGTTTGTGCTTGGAAAGTATTCCGACATCGCTCGGTGTTCAACAAGTTGAATACGAGAAATTTCCGAGCACACCACGGTAATTTCCGAGCTCTCATTGTTCTATTGCGAATGGCATGAAGGCTCGGGTCTCGCCTTCTGATTACCTGCTCCCTGGCACGACGGCTGTTCTCCTTACCCGTAAGTCCGTTCAGGGCGTGGTGATAAACAGGAAGCAAGGTCAGTTACGGGAATTACGGGCCCGGCTCCGGATCGGCGCAGTTATGAGGTCATGTCACAACTGCAGAAACTGGCTCGTGAATGAATGTGGACACCCGGCACAACCTCGATTCGACAGCTATCCCACCCCCATGGGGATGGCAAACTTTGTGCCTGGGAGTTGCTTTGAGCCCTTCTCGACTCCTGGAGGATATTCTTTCGCAGTGGGTCAAGGATACTTACTCGACGACTCTGGCAGTTCAGAACCGACTGGTTCTTTTTCACCCCTGAGTATACATTCAGTAGGAAATGCACATGGAACGCCAAGTCGGACGTCACTTGTGTAATGGGATGCCCGACAAATCGGGGTTTAGGGATGCGAAAATCCTCGTGCAGACGCGTGGATGACTGATTTATCGAATTTTCTCACACGGCCCTGTTGGTGATCAAAAGCTGTGTTCTGCCAAGCCTGTATCAAAGATGCCCCCGCTGTCCTGAAGCTCTTGCCGTGTCGACATGCCGTTCAGAAGAGCGCAGACTTTGCGCTGGAATCTCGTCCTGATCACAGCCATGGTGATGCGTCGTGCCGAGGACAGCACCGACACGTTCTGCGCGTGCGTTCGTTTGCAAAGTACATGCGTGATTGATTTCATAGGTCACTACACCACTGCACGTGGATATTGAACTTCAAACGAGGACTGTTTTGTGGGGGAAGGAAGTGAAAGTGTGGTAGGTAACGCCTTCATTCAACATTGTCAACCACCCTGCATTAGTCCGTCTCCGGTGACAACTGGACAGCCTCACTGACTTGACTGCTTCGTCTTTGTACAAGCCCTCTGAGGCCGAGGTCAGACAGTGGACTAAGAGTACGTCAAAAGCACGTACCAAGTTTCGCCCCCTCGGCTTTCCTCAGCCGCCCTTGGCCTTAGCTTTGCCCTTGGCCTTAGCTGCCGCTGCTTTCTTTGCTGCTTCCTCTGCTTTCTTTGCTGCTGCCGCTGCTTTCTTTTCTTCTTGCTCTTCCTTGATTTGGCGCGCTATCTCCTCGGCATCCCTCTTCATCCTCACTTTGTCGACGCAGTCGTCGAGACCGCAGTCTTCCCAATATGCTCCTCTCCCACCCTCTCTCAACCTAACGAGACACATTCCTGTTGCGATTGTTGTAGGCTAAGGCAAGTTCCTAATAAGAGTCATCATTTGTGTTAATTATTTGAAAAATAGTAATTAGCTTACTGGATTCAATGTTGAGTCCTCGTGAGGAGTGTTTCGGACTGAATGGAGGGACTTTTTGTGGGGTCTACTGTGTAGACAAGAAATTTATACCTTTGTGGAGGGAGGAATACTCACGGAATCCTCCATGCCCACCGATAGAGAGTGTCCATGCTTGACCCAGTAATAGCCGATCTCTCAAACCATCATCCTGAACTGGTCGAATAGCCCCTCTCTACGGGAGGTGGAAGAGACAGAGGAATCGCCGACCTTAGGGGCGAGGCAGAAGAAGCAGAATTGCCACCCTATGACACACGCTTAAGCAAGGGGAATTGGCTGTATCAAGGGAATCAAGAGGATCAGTGGAGGGCGCAGCTTTCCTCTTGCGTCCCGCCCTAGCGCGAGGTACTTGCTGAGCACAAGATTACACCCGCGATAGTATCTCTTGGTAAGATCGAAGAGACGATAGCCAGCGTATAGTATTGCTATGGGGTTGGCACCGCGGATAGAAAGGCAAAAGAGACAAGCTACCCGGCGGAGGCTTCCGGGTTGCTGGGTTTGATTTGCCAGTCCACCCTTCCCTCACGCGACGCGCCCGTCTCGCGCGATGAAAATTCATGCAATTGACAATTGCCAATTGCTCGTGTGATGCAGGGGCGGGACATCAGTGCCTCGGACACCGCCGATGATGCCGAAGTTGCTTTGAACCAACTTCTCATGCGTCTCAGACTGCGCGGTGGCTCATTCCCTGAAAATAGATATCCCATCAGTGGCCTACTGGAATCCCTGTTACGGAAAAATCGAAGCCTAAATGTACCACGCTGTGTTTGTCCAGAACAATATAAAGAGCAGTCCAGATGGCAATATGGTTCCGCACGAGCACTCCCATTTTGTCTCATTGTGATATCAGATAGACGGAAGGGTTTGGGGAGCAGGGGCCAGAAACTCAACAGAAGTGGTGCTGAGAGGTCTGTAGAGAGACTGACACATTCAGCGCGCCCTATCTAGAATGACTGAGATTTGCTTCTGTTCCATCGAGGAAGCCAATGGTAAGGACCGATTGTTCAACCCGTTCGTAACACCAGACAATCGAAATTCTTGCTCCTTCTCAGACCATGTCAAACATGCTGCACAGGTCGTCCGATAGCAGCGGTTTTTTACAACGAGTGGTACCACCCGCAAAGCTACAACGCCACTCAAGTAGCGGGTACATCGTGATGGATGCAGCTCAGACATTCCGTATCGCCGCGGCAAGGCTCAGGGCAGGGACAGACGGAAAACAGAGTACGTACACGTGCAAGCGCTCCCGATCCAAGGTTTCGAGAAAGACACTCGAGCCACTCTGGGTTCCGGAGGTGGAAAAGTACACACCACAAGGCTCTAATGGGTAAGTTATTCCACCGCTCTCAGGCTTTGCACGCGATTATCCATGCGGCAGGGCATAGTCTCGGGGAAACAGGTCCGAGAAGCTACGCAGAAGCCAGTACAACAGAAACGCCCTGCGTGAAGGAGTATGACAAGTCACCAAGGGAAGCAGGTCTGACACTAGAAGGTGGCCAATAGAGACGACATCGGCCGAAGTGACGGTGAGGATTGCGAATTGGACGGCGTGATTTGTTTCCGCCTTCCTGGCCCTCCACTTTTTGGGCCACTTTGTTGATGAATCTTATTCTTCTCCTTTCGCGTATACCTTCCTACTATGGCAACATATGGAAACCTGCAACTCGGTCGATTCTTTAATAGATTCCTGCAGTACCTCGCGACATTGCATTTTTGTTCAATCTAGTGCTCAATCTCTTGCAGCAAGAAAAGCTCGCTTCAGGTCATTATTCCCTTTCCGCGATTATTGTTATCATCGCCACACCAGCTGATCTAGAAACGTGCTACGCGTCCATAACTTTTTTTTCTCATTCTGTGGTGCGTGGCAATTTGTCAATTGTCCCTCTGATATTTTCAGAGCTTGCGGAGTGTACTGCTGAGTACTTTTCCTCTTTTGGATGTCGGGTACGGTCCCGAAGTACCATAGGAACGACCAGTCTCTCGTTATCTCCTTGGTCATCGTGTCTAGTGGGAAAGGTGCCATCTATATCACTGCCGCACCTGTATCGAGTCCTGATGAGCCAACGACATGGTAGCCTACTCCGTTTTCTTCTTATAAAGCGTGAAGCAGGTCTCTCTCCTCTCATGAGCGGTGCTGGATTCTATTCGGTTTCCCTTGGAAATACCGAAGTACGTGGGCAATCCTCAAGACATACTCTTTCGGTCAAACACCCCTTTCTATGTTTCTCCATGCATGGGGCAACGTCAGAATCCCCGTTTCACTTCGTTTACGCGAAGTACATCTTGTGGCATTTTTTTCGTACTGTCTCGGTATTCTGCGAACGGAACGAGCTACCATTTGAAGGACATCATGAGACAGGAAGAAGTTGTGCGCCGATACAGTGACCGGAATTTTCTGCGATAATCTGTTTTCCGGGAACGCTTCCAAGCCGATCACCAACTTTCTCCTGCTTCCTTGTGTGATGTCGCTCTCCAGCTTGTCCTCGTTCTCCGAAAGAATTTCTTCCCCAAGAGCGATCTAGCTTCCCCGCGCTCACCGAACTGGAAACTCTCAGTGGTACAGCAAACGGTGCGCTATTCTTCCCACTTCCATTATATCCAAGCTCTGTTCGAAGTTTTTCCTAGGATAGAAGCGGGGAGTATCGGTTTACCGGCACCCGGGGCTACTGCACATGAATGTCGATCTCTTCCCGATGCAGCTGCCGCGGACCGTCCTGCCGGGTCACCCCACGATGCGCCAGATATCGCGACATCGCATCATCGCGACAATCGCCGCGATCATAGCTCTGTTGGTCGGGTGTGTTTCTCAGTTTGTTGAAGTCGTTGCTGGAGAATAGAGCCGGTCAAGTGCACGTTTTTGCCTGTGTCACCCGGGCTATCACTGAAGCATTAGGGGCGTGAGATCCTCCTGTCGTCGTCACTTGCATGGAACCACTTTCACCGAGGTGTCCGATGTGGGCATGTCATCCACCGTATCGTGACTTTCCGTGGGCAGCTTGGCGGGAAAGAAGACAGTCCGGAAATAGCCGGGTCATGCGAGCAATCACCCCTACACCTTTTGATCCTCATAGATATTAATCGCCTGAAAAACCGCGCCCGACATTCAATGCAACCATTCCTGAAAACCGTTCCTGTCAGGCTATTCCATGGGAGTGACTTCGTGGTTGAGGGATGTGTGCTCCACCACATACCTCCTTAATCGATCCTGAGCTGATCGGTGGTGCAAGAAGGTGCGCACCCCAGTACTAATGGATGTAACTGGGTCTGATGCTATATGGGATTACTCTCCACGAAGCACTCAGCCTCTGTACCGGGTTGTTGCTTGTACCGAGAATGTCCGCGTTCTTCATTTCTATTCGATTCTGTGCCATGCAGAGAAAGCCGACTTATACCGTCAACCGGCACGCTTGGCATAGGGGCAAAGCGTGGAATCCTTACAGTATTGGTCTGTTGGTTCAGCCGTATCTCACTTGATCATGACTCGTCACGCTCTTCAGTGGCAGGAAAACAGTGTATCCGCCTTCTCGACTCTGGATACAACCCCCATTCCCCTCGCCAGAGCAAGACACCTGATGTGCGGGCAGGCTGCTAACGTTCTGCACACAAATATTTAGCATTCTCTGCGGTTATTTGACGTGTCTGTCGCACAGAAACACACAAGACACATTAGATCCAATTTCCTTTCCTTCCCGTAGCAATATCACGACTCCATTACCTAATTTGAAACATAAATACAGCGTAAAGCCTACGTATCCTCAACCGTGTATCTCCTTATCCTCAACGGGAGCGTCGGCGCATCCCTCGGACCGCCCTTCACAACCGGCCTCGTGACGATATTCGACTTTGCCTCGAACTCCATCCCCGGATCCGCGAGTTGGAAAGTGAACTGCCTGATGAGGACGTAGAGGAAGACCTTGATCTCGATGATACTGAAGCGATAGCCTATGCATGCCCGTGGTCCGCCGAGGAAGGAGAGTACGTGTGCCCACACACCGGGGATGTGGTTCGCAGCATCTGGAACCTCACGCAACCAGCGTTCTGGGCGGAACTCGCCCGCATCTGGTCCCCATAGTGAGGTAGACCGGTTCACCACTCTGATAGGGATGAAGATCCCATCTCCTTTCTTCACGCTGATGGTGGTTCGTTCCTTGCCGTTCGTGTCAACGTACGGCCGAGAGACGGGGATCTCATCGGCCGCACTGGCCATGCGCATCGTGCTCGCCACGGGGGCGTGGAAGCGCATTACTTCGCGAACAAAGGCGTCAAGATAGGGGATCGCGCTGAGTTCGTCCATATCTGACTGCGGTGAGGGATAAGAGAGGAGCTCAGCACGCAGCTTGTTCTGTACATCTTGATCCGTCGAGAGGGTGAACAAAGCCCACGTGACAGCCGAACTCGTTGTCTCGTGCCCTGCAACGAGGAACGTCGAGATCTGGGCAAGGACCTCCTCGTCGTTCAGCTTCTGTGCGGAGGTGACGTCGTTTGCCATGTTCGCTCGCACGAGGGCGCTGAGGAGGTCCTTCCCCACCACCTGGGTCCTTACGACATCTTTCTCCTCCCGCTTCCCATCCAGTGTCTGCCTCACCGCCTCCTTCTTCCTCTTTACGAGCTCCATCCCTATCCTGGTCATGACCCGATGTGCGTTCGCCTGGATGCGGTTCGACTGCACAGGAAGGTATCGCAGTGCGGGGAAGAAGTTGCGCAGGATAGCGAATACGCTAACGCGCCTGACGTGAAAGAGCTGCGCAACAGCAAGTGCAAGCTCGTTTGAGTCGTCCAGCAAGCTCTGGAACGCGTACCCAAAGCCCGCAAGGCCGATCACGTCGAGCGTCGCGCGCGACAGCCAGTTGTTCACGTCGACCACCGCTTCCTCTGAACGGACAGATGCGTGCCAGATGGATGCCAGCTCTTCCGCCTTGTCCCAGAAGACGGGGACGACCTCTTTGATCTGCTGGGATGAGAAACTGGGGTTCATGACTCTTCTTTGCCGTTTGTGTGCGTCTCCCTCGGCGACGAGTAGACCGTCACCTACCGTGCGTGAGAGAGAACGCTGTACCATCCCTGGCTTGGGGTAGAGGTACGCGTTTTGTAGGATATGGGAGAGCGCGCGGGGGTCGGTAGTGCATAAACGCCATTTCTAGATCGGGTGAGCTCGAGCCGGTTTTGGAGAAGAAGGGGGGACGGACGCTCAACGTCTGCCTGTAACTGAACACGGGGCCTAGTTCTCGTTCCCAGCGGGCGTGGGTTTCCCCTAGAGGAGCACGCCGGATCTGTTTGACGTTACCCCAGAGGAGGCGGGCGCCTTTTGGATGAGGGAGGTTGCGCAAGGGGCTCCAGAGTGGTGAGAGGAGGGAATGGGTAAGGCGGAGGAGTGTGTAGACGGCGAGAAGGGAGAGGAGGAGAGAGGCGGAGGAGGACAGCGAGCTCGAGATGAATGCCATTGAGGACGAAGCGTGGTGGTGACCAAAGTCGTTCTACGCCCTCCTCTGCTTATATGGCTTATTTGTGACTGTGCAGCTTTTATCAACTGTTTATCTCTCAATTGCATCCGATCATGACTGTATCAGCCAACACAATACATTTTCCAAATATCCGACAAACAATTGCATTAAACGTAACACTAATTCCACCGTAAATCGTCCACATATACATCGTATCCTTCCAATAGCCCAAACCAAAATAATATATCCACCATCCATCCCCATACTGACGCATACACCTCACTACTGCGCCCTCCTAAGCCTGAGGGGGAGCGCAGGCCCCTCCTTCACCCGTCCCTTGATAACCGGCCTAGTAACGATCGTCGACCTCTCCTCAAACTCCATCGTCTTATCCGCAAACTCAAACTCAAACTCGCGCACAATCGTATACAGGAAGACCTTGATCTCCACGACGCTGAATTTGTAGCCAATGCACGCCCTTGGCCCGCCGAGGAAGGAGAGTATATGCGCCCACACGCCAGGGATATGTGTTGCTTCCTCTGGCACATGCGCCCATCGTTCGGGGTTGAACGATTCGCCGTCTGGGCCCCAGAGTGTAGGCGTCCGGTTCACATTTTTGATAGGGATGTAGATCCCGTCGCCGTTTTTGATTGGGATGCTCGTGCGCTGCACACCGTGCCTATCGGTATAAGGCGTCGAGACGGGGATCTCGTCGTCCGCATCGGCGATCCGGACTGTCCCGCCCACAGGGGTGTGGAAGCGTAGGACCTCGCGTACGACCCAGTCGAGGTAGGGGATGTTGTTGAGCTCATCCATGCCGGGCATGGACTCGGGGTAGCGTTGTAGCTCTTTTCTCAGCTTGGTCTGTACGTCCTGGTGTTTCGAGAGGGCGAAGAGCGCCCAAATGACTGCTGTGCTGGTCGTCTCGTGGCCTGCGAGGAGGAATGTAGATATCTGAGCCAAGACTTGCTCGTCGTCCAATCTTCCCTCGTCAGGGAGGTCGTTCGCCATATTAGCGCGAACGAGTGCGGTGAGCAAGTCCCTTCCCGCGACTTGCTTTCGCCCGATCTCCTGTTCATCCCGCTTCCCGTCCAGCGTCTGGCGCACCGCTTCCTTCTTCAGTTTCACCAGCTCCATTCCAGTCCTGCGCAGCGTATCCCGAGAGTGTGCCGCCACCCTGTTCCTCTTAATAGGGAGCAGGGTGAATCCAGGAATCAAATTCAGCAAGAGGATCAAGATGCTCGGTCGCTGCAGTATGAGCAAGTCGGAAAACGCACGCGCAAGGTCGTTCGACTCGTCCGTCAGGCTCTCGAACGCATATCCAAACCCCGCAAGTCCGATGATATCCAGCGTCGCGCGAGACATCCATTTGCAGATATCGATGACCAAGTCGTTCGCACCCCCCGCTGCGGCCTGGTCGAGCTCCTTGACCCAGATATCCCTCAGCTCGCCGGCTTTGTCCCAGAAGATCGGGGTGAGCTCGCGGATCTCCGCAGGGGAGAAAGAGGGGTTCATGATCCTCCTCTGGCGCTTGTGTACTTCCCCTTCGGCGATGAGCAGGCCTTCCCCGACTGCGCGGGCGAGGGAGCGTTGTACGGCGACAGGTTTTGGGTAGGTGTATGCATGCTGCAGGATATGGGATAGTGCTCGGGCGTCGGTCGTACATAGTCTCCATTTCTGTAGGATGTGAGATGGGAGTACGCGAGAGAGGACTGAGACGCACGTTCATTAGCTGGCGGTAAGCATACACGGACCCGAACTCGGCCTCCCATTCCCTGTGCAGCTCCCCACTGGGAGCAGCGAATATTTGAAGCATGTTACCCCATATCCATGAGGGACTGGGTGGGTGCTTGAGGTTGCGAAGAGGGGAGAAGAGTGGGACGATGTACTGCCTAACAAGGTGAAGGAGTAAGAGGGAAGTAAGAACTGATATGAGGATGTAGAGCTGAGTGAGGGAGAGTGCGAGGGATGAGAAGGGGATGTCCATGGTGTGAGGTTAACATGAGTAGCCTGACCAAGGTATATAAGCTCACCCTTTGTTAATCGTTTGATTGAGGGACGGGCCGTGGACAGGCACACAGAGGTCAACGTGTTACGTCATCAAGAAACATCGGATGTAGTAGCGAAAGGGTCCAGCTCATCATCACATTCTACATCGAACGTTGTGATTGGCCAGGAACAACGAGTCTCGGTCTTTCGCTCGGCGTACGCGTCCCTCACCTCGTACTAACAGGGAGAGGGACGCAGACGTGAAGAACTTGTGCAACGTCCTTTTGTGGACTTCGCTCGGGCAGAATATTCGGCCGATATTTTGTCCTTTAACAGTCAGCTACCGGCGAGAGGTGATAGAGGGAGCACGGGGCGGTTCATGGGACACGGCAGAGAGACGCGTTCAAGGCACGGAAGGTGAACATAGGTTACACATGGGAGAGGTATGAATGATCTGACTATCTTTTACAGCAGGATCGTAGAAGTGTTCTGAAGGTTAGGACATGTAGGGGAAGAAGGGAAAGTAGTCCATCTCAAGGAAAACAAGGTCCTGCGTTCGTACTCTCTCAACCGAGACGACACTTCCACTATTTTACAGATAAGTCGAATCAACGCATCTGCCACATGCCATGGCGGGATACCGTATACAATCCAGAGAAACACGAGGAGCACTAGTCATGCGTCAGCACCTCCAGGGTCGTACGACTCGTCGGACTCACCGCCTGCCCAGCGAACCTTCAGCTTGTTCGCATCCCAGTTCGCCCACATCCAACCAAAGAACTAGAACAGCAAGTAGCAAAGGTTGCATAATATGAGGGACATCGTTCTCCCAGGTGTGAGCGTGCTCGTGTACCATCGGCAGACAAGCCACACTCTATGAGCGTAACCCTGCCAGCACGCGACACAGAGTGCCGCGTGCCAGTAGAAGGCGCGTATATGGAGAGCGATCTGATATACCACGGTCGTGCGCGCAGCCTTTGTCTAGCATCGCGGTCCATCTCGAGTCGCGGAGGAGATCGGGAAATGTTGCGAGGTACGTTGTGGTCGACTTGAGCGACATCAGATTGGTCTGTTTGTGGCATTTGGCTGCTGGGGAGTGGGGGGAGGTAGGTTGCTGTATTTCGGTGTAATCACCTCTAGCAAGATGGCAGCTGCTGGTGGGAAGCCGTCACGGTGGAAGACAGAATAGGGGGACACGAGGAGTCCGTGTGGCACAGATCTGAGTATACACGAGATGAGTAGTATGTAGGTGTAGGTGTAGGAGCGCGCGCAGCGGAGGCAAAAGACCCTGTTTTCGCCCAATATAGCAATTGCTCCAGAGTCTGAACGTATGGGCTTACACCGAAGCACAGAGTATGATATAATATAATACAGTGAAAAATATGATAATATCACCCTACCACTAACCCTAACCCTAACCCCTACCCCACCCTAACCTTAACCAACCCTAACCTGCTAGATGGGATCCTAACCAGTACCCTAACACTACGCAGGGGAGGAATTGCCTTTTTCGGAAATTACGGAGGTAAATTGCCCCCGTCCGCGCGAATATGGACGCAGTTTGCCTCCGCTGCGCGCGTCCTACACCTACATGCTACTCATCTCGTGTGCGCTCCACAGATCTCTCTATGTACTTCCGAGACATCACTCGAGTGCTTTAGAATGCACCCGCATTTCCGCAATCCCAAAGTGATGAGCGGCGGTATCCGCGTAGAGTTTCGCCCAGGAGGATACAAGATTAATATTATATTGTTTATGTTACATGACCGATGAGGACATGAGCAATCCGGCCGAGGAGAAATCTACCTGCCGCAACAGACGATATGAAGAGGAATCATGGAAGTAGCGCTTTCGTCGCCTGCACCAGTACATCAATAGCGTTCTCTGTCAGCTTGTATGCCAGCTTCCACGGAGGGAGACCATTGAGAAACCACACCACGAGTATCATCACTGGGAGAAATCTTATCAGATGATGTCATCAACGTGTTAGACAGCTCACTAACAAAAAGCGATGAAAACCTGGTCCTCATGTATGCGCTTCACTAAGCGCTTTAGAACGTGGTATAGGTATCCAACAACGAGTCCGAGAATAACCAGTTCCATGCACCATGGCGTTGCGCGAAGTATACACAGTAGGTTGTATGCTTGCCGGACCTGACGTCGTTGACGGACCAGCCAGAAGGGCGCCATGAGGTACATGGTCAAGAGGAGACGAAGCGCCAGGCTACAGCAGGGCACGAATATCACCAATAGTGGGAAAAGGATGTGCTGGCTGGAAACCAGTAGGCTGTTGACATGCGTAGGCTTAACCTGTCCAACACGATAGATTGGCGGCCTTGTCCTTGGGTTGAATCAGAGGCGTGACAATGCGCTCGACGAGATGCTACTCACGTTCCGTTAGACAATAATCGTCGAATCAAACATACGAACCGCTTGCAGAGTGATGTGATACTGGTGCTGTGAGAGCATAGACGCCATAGTCCTCGCCTTCTCCGGTCACCACATATTTGCGTGGTCCAAGAGCTCCCGCATTTCCGAGACCCGAAAACACCGACGTGCCTCGCGGACTATCGTTGGCACGCCACCGATGTATGGCCAGATTCTCTACTTTAGTCAATAAGATGTCCGAGAGTAATGATGTGCGCACGACGGGTTCGCTTTCAAAGTCAAAATCTGATAGAACGCAGTTGGTGGCTGTGAAGTCGGACCGAACGCGCAGACCCTGTCAAACTAGAAATTTCGACTTTGGCTGGTCGTCTTGAATTTCAGCTCGATATATTCAGTATACCATAAAATGGTCGAGTCACAACATCATCATAGACCAACGCTCAAACAGGTATGTTCATCCGTTGCACAGCGCTGCGCGGTTTAATCAATTCTACGCAGCAAAATAAGCCCTTCAAATCGAAGCATGCTACCAAGGGCGCACTGAAGACTGCCGCCAAAGGTCGAACACAGCGGCAGCATGCCAAGTCCACCAACGCATCCCACGCTGCTGCACAAGTCAAATTGAATCGAAAGAACGCGGCAAAGCAGATACAGAAGAACAAGCGGGCTGAGCTCATTAGCGCGACTAGGCTGTTCTCTGGAAGGGAGGGTGCTCCGAGGGTTGTGGCCGTTGTACCACTTTGCGAAGGGTTGAGGGCAGATGACATCGCAAAGAGCGTTGCGAGCGGGTGGGGTGGAGATATTGACGGATGTCCTCAGGTGGGGATGTGGGAGACGAGGTACGCAATCCTTCTCCACCTAGCAAATTGCCTCCCTGATCTCCTCGCAGAGCTGATCGCTTCAAGACGTCCCTTCAATTCCTTCTCCTTCCCTATCGGCGACTATACACAGCACTCGACGCGTGCCGCGTGGCTGACTATGTTATATTTGCATTGTCAGCACAAACAGAGGTAGATTCCTGGGGTGAACTCTGCCTCAGATGTCTGCAGGCCCAGGCTTTGCCCGATATTGTGACCGTCGTGCCTGTATGCTCCTTCATGACCTGATCCAGACATTATACTAATAAACATTTTTCTGCAGGATCTCGACGAGGTACCGTCGAAGCAGCGTCAGGATACACTGAAATCTCTGCTCTCCTTCATCCAATACTTCGTCCCTTCCCAGACTCGTGTCTTCTTCCTTTCCCCTTCTCAGCCATCTGAAGCCACAAGCACGGCCCGAGCACTTTGTGAAGGCAAGCCGAAGGACGTGGCCTGGAGGAAGGATAGGACGTGGTTGGTAGCGGAGGATGCCGGATGGGTGGCGAGGGAGGAGATGAAGGAAGCCGAAGAGGACGGTACGGGGACGCTGCAGGTCACCGGTGTTATTAGAGGCGGGAGGTTGAGCGTCGACCGTCTGATACACATCCCCAATTTTGGGGACTATCAGATAGAGAAGGTGAGTTTCGCCTATGTATGCTTCACCTGAGTGAAGTTGAGTCCTTTTAGATCACTGCGGCCCCTCACCGCACCGCCAATGTCCAGGACATGGACCAAACAGACGAAGTCCTGGCAGAGCCTAGTTCTGATGCGGACTCCCTCATTTCGCGAAATGAACCGGATGACCTTATGAACGAGCAGACCTGGCCGACCGAAGAGGAAATGCGCGCGGGGGATGAGATGCAGGCAGATGCAGATGCAGCTGAGAACACGGCGAGGAAGCTAAAAAAACTGCCAAAGGGGACAAGCAGTTATCAGGCAGCGTGGATTATGGATGAAGAAGATGAGGACAATGCGGATGAGGGCGATGAAGAGGATGAAGGTGACGACACTGAGGAGGAAGAGCTGGATGAAGAAGATATGGGAGTCGATGGCCCCATGGCGGACATTTCTGAGAAGGGGCTAAATGGATGCGAGGTTCCAGAAGTTGAGCCGAGCATCAGTGCAATGGAGAGCAGCCGGAAGACCGAAGTGCATTTCGACCTACCCGTGGAGGAGGAAGAGACACAGTATGTTCACACATATATCTAGCTTCCCTCACAGACAGTTGACGTTCTTGCAGGCTGAAGACCTACCTCGGGTCTCGCAACCGCCAAAACAAAGATGACCTTGAGTTTCCTGACGAAGTCGATACCCCTCGCGATATTCCAGCACATGCCCGCTTCCAAAGGTACAGAGGGCTCAGATCATTCCGCACCAGCCCATGGGATCCATTCGAGAACCTGCCGGTGGACTACGCAAAGATATTCCAGTTCGAGGATTATCAGAGGACAAGGAGGAGGGTTTTAAGGGAGGATGAACATAGTATTCCTGTGCGCTTCGTCTTTCGACGGTCGGATTTCCCACTAACCGCTCTACAGGAAGGCAAACGCGTTACCCTGCATTTGAGGGATGTCCCACATACGGCCTTCAAAGCTTCCAAATCGACATTCCCGTTCACCCTGTTTGCTCTATTGAAGCATGAGCACAAGTATTCGGTGCTAAACTTTGTCGTTCAGCGAAACACAGAATACGACGGAATTGTGAAGTCGAAGGTCCCACGATTTCTCTTGATACACTACTCAGTTATCTAATTCATGCATCAGGACGAACTTCTTGTATGTGCTGGTCCAAGGCGATATACTGCAAAACCGATCTACAGTCAGTATGTAAGGGGAGGCGGCAAAGGTTCCAACAACGTGCACAAGTTCGAGCGTTTTCTCCGTCATGGCTTGGCCACTGCTGTTTCTCTTTACGCCCCGATCATGTTTGGGAAACAGCCGTGCTTGTTGTTGCGAGAGAGCGAAGATCCACAAGAACCACACTTGGTTGCAACGGGCACGTTCATGAACCCGGACACAAAGCGTGTCATCGCAAAGAAGATCATCCTCACCGGCGTACCTTACAAGGTACACAAACGAACTGCTACAATTCGGTATATGTTCTTCAATCCCGAAGATGTTCGGTACTTCGCGCCGATTCAGCTTCATACCAAGCATGGTCGTGTGGGACACATCAGCGAGTCACTAGGTACCCATGGCTATTACAAGGCGCACTTTGATGGGCCAATCACTCAGATGGATACCATTTGCATGTCTCTCTACAAGAGGGTCTTTCCAAGATGGTGTCAGCTCTGGAAGGAGCCCTCTCGGCCAGTAAATGCCCTCCAAGACAGCATGGAAACCGAGGATTAGATATCACGCCTTTGTTCTGTATGGTACTACATGATTAGAATGGCATTAATGCATGTCTCCTGCTGCTTGACCCAGGCTCACACCGCTGGGACGAGTCCAGCAGCAACAGCAGCCCGAGTCCTACGCGTGGGAGGAGGCGCTTGGACCGCATCCGCATCTACTTCATCCTGCACACGCCGTACCGCTGCCGCCCTTGTCCTTGGTGCGGGCCGATAATCGCTACTTTGAGTGTCAGTCCTACTCAGAGGACCGCGAGATCGTGCCTCGTCTGCTGTGCGACGCATTTCCTTCAACACATCATTTGCCTGATCGTAATTGTCGCCCTGATCCCGCAGAACCTCCGTAACAACAGTGACGTCGAAGTAATAGCCATGCTCTGTTCGGAGCTCTTCCGCCATCTCGTTTCGTTCCTGGACCGCACGCTGCATGACATCATTGATGGAAACACGGCCGTTTGAACCCCGAGGACGCCGTGGGTCACCAGAAGAAGCCCGTCGTGCGTCTCCGGCCGGAAAACGAGTTTGATCAGGAGGAAGTTCATTGAAATCCAGCTGCCGAATTCGAGCTAAGGGCTCGCTGGCGCGGGAAACTCCAGTCGGGGCACGTTCGGTAGGATCGATCTGCAGTGCCTGTGCCTGTTCCAGCAGCTCCTGCACACCTGGCTCGGGCTCTGGTGTAAGCTGCTCAACAGTGTCCTGGCTGCTCTGAGACATGCTCGGGGGTCTGGCCTCGCCGTCGCGCCGGGAAGCCATTCGTGGGGTTCCATTGTCTATTCCTGAGCCATTATCGAGTTCGGCTTCGACTTCTAGCAATTCCGAGTCACCTTCGTTGTTCTGGTAGGTCGAATTTTGCAATCGAGCTGGGGACCTTAAGCTTACGTCTCGCAAAGGAGACCAAGCTGCTGGCGGTGAATGTGGCGTTGGAGGTTCCGGCGCTTGGGAGCGACGTTGGCCTGGAGTTGAAGGCGAACGCGGTGTTTGGATATTCACGGTTCGCCTGCCATTCCGGGAAGGAGGCCATCTATCACCCGAGCGGTCGGTCGTTTGGTCATAGTTGGGGACGCCCATGCCTCGCCGCCGCAGAATGGGCAACTGGGTGTTTCCAGGTGCGGTGGTTCTATACGTGGGTGGTGGCTGGGATTCGCCAGGGGGAACTTGAGGGGGCGAATCGGGGGCATTTCTGTTAGAGTAATTTGATCAACACACTGGTGTTACACGGCTCTCGAATGACCTACAGATTCTCATCTTCGTTTCCAGCTGGTTCTTCCATATTACCATCTTCATCGTCGTTTCCAGCTGGTTCTTCCATATTACCATCTTCATCGTCGTTTCCAGTTGGTTCTTCCATATTACCATCTTCATCGTCGTTTCCAGTTAGTTCTTCCATATTACCATCTTCATCGTCGTTTCCAGTTAGTTCTTCCATATTACCATCTTCATCGTCGTTTCCAGTTAGTTCTTCCATATTACCATCTTCATCGTCGTTTCCAGCTGGTTTTTCCGTAATACTGTCTGGCACTTCTTCATTCGAAGGCATGGTCGTATTCATTCTTCTCCGCTTTGACGGACTGCGTCCTGGTGGATGCATGAGATCGTCATCCGCATCCTCGTCCTCGTTCTCGTTATCCTCCGGCTCTGGGGCTGGGCGCTTCTTCGCTGTTGGGATTGATCCTACGGTACTATTTCGTAATCTGACACTCCTCTCGAAACCAATAGCTCGCGGGAATTCTCCACCACGATCGCGCACCCAGCTATGAGTGCTCAGCCATGTTTCAATTTCTTTGTCAAACCATTCCCGTAGGTTGCGATAGCGCTCCCGCCATCCTTCATACGGATGCATAGCAGCATGCTTGACTGCCTTGGCCTGAAATATTTATAAGCTACTTGCCCAGAAAACACCCCAGAAAACACGAATTGCGCACCTTCACGCCATCGTCATTCAATAAAATGTACTTCTGCGCATCAGCCTTCAATCTGTCCTCCAGCATCTGATACAGAGTAAACCCAAGACGGCCACCCTTCTCCGCATCCGGAATTTGTCGAGCAATGTGCGAAATAAGGATTGCATCGTCGTCACGGGTGAACTCAACGCGACTGTTACAGAATTAGCACAAGGTACCACGAACAGCCTGGCCAAAACGTACGCTGATCCTGCTCTTCTACCAGGCATGCCCTTCCGAGGCGGCTTCGAAAGAACAACGTTCCCGGCCTTTATCCACCTTTCCAGTACATCCTGTTCTTCCACGTATACATTGGCATCCCACAGGCTATTTTTCAACTTCGTTATCTCGTGTACAGTATCTTCGGTTGTGTTCACAAGTATGACCCTGGCTTGAGATCTCAAAACAGCGCAGAAGCCTCCGAACTCCTGATATATAGAGTAAGTGCTAGGGACCCGCCTGTATAGGGAAGAGCTAAAATACCTCTATCTGCTTGCACAGTCGACTCCGCTCGGCACCCTTGACACTGTAGTGAATATGGATCGGCAGCTGTGATCCGAGAACCACCATATCGGCGAGAATGCACTTCTCTATCGCTATGAGGAGTTGGGTGATGGGGATTGGGGCAGGCTCGTCGTCCATGGGCACATCTTGGTTTTCTAGGCGGTTCTTTTTGATGCTTTTGCTGACCCAAGACATGTGTACCACAGTGTGCAGCGGTGTATCGGACCATCTTGCGCCAAATGACTTGGGTTTGGTTGCATTGTACACGATTATGCCATGGCTAGGGATGACCTTCAAGACTTCACCGCCATGATCCTAAGACTTGATTAAGATATATTCACATGCATACAAGACTGCACAGACCGTTATCTTCTTCGCAAGTACTGTACGAGTCTCATCGTCGATGTGGGGAGAATCCTGGATGTAGAACTTCATGGGCTTCTTGTCGTTCGTGTAAAACAGGGTTGACTGTGAGCATATTACTGGATGAGTCTCTGAGCGTTGGGTTTCGATACACACATTAGCACCAAATGAATCCAGATCACGAAACTCGTTCGTCTCCGCCATCTGGTAGAAGGAGCGAAAAGAGTCACGTCGAGAAGAAGGTAAGGAAGAAGATAACTTACAGTTACACGTGTGTACACGCGTTGAGTCGCGTCTCAAGGGTCCATTGTTTACACGAGGGTGCTTGTCGGACGTGTCCGGTAGACTGGAGGCACATTCTCAAGATATCACGACGAAATTACTATCAACATACACATATACGTGGAAATCACAAGGAGATGAGTTCATGACCAGACAATACAGATTTGATTTTGCTCAAAGAGCTCACCGCCGCCGAACACTCTTACGTCGAGACGCAGATTCTTCCGCCTCTTGTGCTGCCCGTTTGGCAGCGCGAGAACGCGTCTCTCGTACCTCGATTTTGGGCGCTTCTTGCTCCTCGTCCTGTTCTTCTGCATCGTTGTCGCCCTGCTCGCCATCGGTATCCTGCCCATCCCCTTTATCTTGATGGGGCTCAACGGAGGGTGTGGCCACAAGGACATCAAGCTGTTTCGCCCCCTTCTTGGGTCTGCCAGGTCCACGTGGTGCCTTGTTCGTCGCCCCTTTTGGTCTCCCGGGTCCGCGCCGTGGATTGATCGGTGGGGCTGGCGGAACGACGGCAGGACGTTCGGAAGGCACTTGCACAGAGTCTGCTGGTGGTTGAGTAAGACCAATATCCGCGCTGTTCCATTAATGATTAGCATCCACCAATCATGGAGGATATCGTCTTACTTTCCGCTTGCCTGATTCTGCTCTTCCTCTTCAGCCTGCTCCTCATCCTCGCCTTCGGCGTCCTCATCAGATTGGACGACTGCTTCGGCTGCTGCCTCTTCTGCACCAGTATGTTCTTCGAAATCACTGTCTACCTCGTCGGCTTCGTGAAGATGCACCTCGACGGGCAATGCTTTCTTAGAGGATCCTCGCCTAGTTGGCCGTTTCGTCTTGCTCGATTCTCCGCCTCGCTGGGTATAGTAAGGATGCTCTTCCAAAAACTTGTCAATGCGGGTGTCGAATTCTTCTTTGGCCTTCTTGTACCGATTCTGCCACGACGACCAAGGATGTTGAGCGGCATAAATGAGATCTTCCTCCTACAATATCTGTTCAGGGGCAAATGCATGCGCATACAACAAGATGACGCACCTCTTTTGTTCTGATATCTGCCGGTTTGTTACGAGCTTTCGCCGCATCATGTTGCAACACTCTCTCAAACTGCTGGTACAGAACGTTTCCTTGTCGGCCATAACCAAAAGGAGCAGCTTTTGCCAAGTAATGAACGAGACGAGAATCATCACCAGCTGTGAACGATACACGCCTACAAGAAATGAAACAATCCACGGAATGGAATATTATGTACTCACGGGTTTGCGCGCTTTGGAGTTCGCTGTGACGGTGGTTTTGCAAGTGGGGTTAGCCCAACTTCACCGTCCTGAGTCCAACGCCGAAGAGCTCCAGGGGGTTCAATCCAACGGTCGTGGCCACGAACCCGAAATAGTAGACCTTCTTCACCCCAGATGTGTTCTTCCCATGTTCCATTATTTTGGTCAGCGATGATGATACGAGCAGAGTCCTCGAAGAGAGTTAGGAAGCCGCCATATTGCTAGGCGCCGTCAAATTTCGATTGATAAACAAATATGGAGTGAACACACCGTAATCAATTTGGCCAGTCTCCTTCTCTCATCCCCTTCAATTGAATAGTCGATGTATACTGGGAGCTGCATGCCTTTCTGCTCTGTTATGAAATCTGCAAGAAGCCGGTGGTTCGGTCGGATATACTGTAAGCTTTCTAATTCGACCGGTTTAGGTTCATCCGACATGGGTCGCCACCAGTCATCCCGCTTATTGTCCCTCACCGATACGTAGACCCAGCTCCAGTGAACCGGATTCTTCATGGGTGTCGTACAGTGCTCGACGGCTGCATATTTGTCCTTCGCATCAAAGACGAAAAAGCACGGTCCTTTCGACGGGAGTTCAGCCACGACAGCTCCTCCAGAGTTCTACGACGACCATCGCAATCAGTGCAATGAATATCGAGCTCAAGGAGGATTATCGTACAATAATCCAAGTAGAGAGCTTGGCGCGGGCTGCCGAAGTAACGTTCGGAGCTTTCGCAATAACGAAAGGGATGGGAAGATCCGATCCTTTCTTCATGCGAAAGAGTTCAGGCTACATGGGACCAGAAGTCAGCATCTACAAGCTCATGTCAATCACGTAGCGCCCACGTTAAACTCCGTTATCTCCAGCGATTCTAACACCTCCATGGCAAGCTGTAGAGCCAAGCTTGGGTTATACAGATTGTTGACACAGGGGTGTTGGAGTTGGGTTAGGGTTGGCACCCCTAGGGTTTGCTGATAAGCTCTGCTGACGGAGGTATTCAATCTATTAGTGTTCCACAGGGTTTTCATGTGCCCAGTTGACAATCAAGCCGAACTCGAAACAGCTGAGACGCACGAACAATCGGCTGCCTGAAATGAATCGAACAACATCCTATTAATTCAAGCGACATTGTAACAAGAGAACAAGAGCTAAGAGGGGAATCATAGCGCAACATCGAGCTCTACTGAGACACGACGGCCCATATTTGTAAGGAGATATAACCGAAAGAGCGCTACAGTAGGTGCCTGACGTTGGGTCGGACGGACGAGAGGGGGAGAGACATAGAGGAGACAGATATCTGGGATCCACCCAGGAGGACAAAGAAATACACAGCGAATTAGGAGGCAGTTCGTGGAACGAGCCCATTAAACGAGTGACTGGAGAATCAGTAGATAACCCGAGTGGAGACAGATGACGGGAAAGTTAGTGCGAGAAACAGGCTTAGATTCAGTTCGGGTCGACGGTCTCACGCCTTAAGCCCGAACGCTGAAGGCGACGCAGTTGCAACGGCAGCTTGTGGTGGTGGAACCGAGCTAGCTGGCTTTGATAATCCTGCAGCGACTGTGGCGGCGGAGGAGCCTGTTCCTGTTCCTGGATGGTCCCAAGGGGAGGCTGGCCGAGGGAGAGAAGGTGATGAGGACTGAGCAAGGGACCCGCGTGGGTACCCATGGATATTGAGGGCGTGAGGGTTTGATGGAAGCCAATTGCGTGGGCCAGCGTTTGCTGATGGTGCAGAGGCACTGGTGAGCTGAGGGGAAGGGGAAGGTGTTGCGAGGATGTGAGAGATTGCTGAAACCCGCCTTGCTGGAGGAACTGTACATGCGGGGCCGGCAGATCCAGATGTAGCGGCGGTGGACGCTGACCCGTCTGGGGAAGATCCGGCTCCGGAGGAAACATCTGCTGCCCGAACTGGTTGTTCTGCATTTCGTACGCTGCTGCCATCTCCTGCTGCTGCTGCATCCCCATCGACAAAGGATCGACTTGGTCCGGTGAGAGTGTCTGTGGATCCATTTGATGACCCGCTTGAATCTGATCCAAGTACTGCTGATTGTCCGCCATAAACTGGGCCCGCTGATCTGGCATCTGGGCTGCAGATATCCATGAGGGAGAGCCTTCGGGAGGGGGGTCGAGAGGGGTCATCGGAAGGGGAAACATTGCGGGGTCCATCCCCATTCCGAAGTTCATGTGTTGCATATTTACGTTCATGCCCATGTTCGGGTGCATCTGCATTCCCATACCCATTTGGGGTGACATACCCAGGTTTAGGCCCATAGCCATCTGCATGTCCAGCGTCGACATAGGGGGCAGAACGAAGCCCTGAAGGTGCTGTTGGAGATGCTGCTGCGGCTGTCCCTGCTGTTGTGGGTGCGCGGGCAGGTGCAGTTGGAGATTGTGGGATACTGAATGAAGTACGGATGGTCCCTCGGACGGCTGATGTTGGGGATGCATATAGTCCATCATACGCCCCATATTGTCCCGCAAGGCTGGGGCTGGATACGCCGCTAAATCCTGTATATGGCCGAACGGGTTGTTGTCCTGCTGGGCCGACATCATAACTTCCCCGTCTCGAGCCTGCATAGCTAGCTGCTCCAGCTGAGGCCGTGTATGGCCTGGGAAGCTTGCTGATCGGACGTGAGGCGGATGAGGGCGTGTGTGGCCGCTCGTCTGCTGCATCTGGAATTGGGATGTCGCCATCGTCGTCTGTAAAAGGATATGTCCGCTTACGCTGCTGCTGGCCATTGGGTGCGGTGGGAGGCGGCCGATAAGCGAATATGCTTGATGACCCTCCTGGGGCGGTAGCTGTTCCAGGTCGGGAAGAGGATAGGTATCCGCCTGCTGTGTTGGGCCTTGAGTATACTCCTCCTGCAGAGTCACCTCCAGCTGTTCCTGGAGCGGGAGGTGGCTGGAATGCGAACTGAGATTCATACCCTGGCGAAGGGGGCTGCTCGACGATTCCCCTTGGTGGTCCGATGGGGAAGAAGTGCTGATCGACAGGTTGGAACGGCTGCGCGACGGGAGGATGGGCGCCGAAGGCGGACCGTTGCCGTGCAGAAGCGAAAAGTAATCCAGCATCTCCTGCTCTTCCAGAGGACTCACCAAAGCTGTCATATTGACCTTCAGCTCCGCTTGCTGTGCCTGGGCGGCCGCTGCCAAAGCCAAGTTGGGCATGGATACGGGGTGGTGATGCGCGAGAGGCCGCTGGGGCAGAGAGGTAGGGAACTGCGGCTGCGCCTGTTGCAACTGGGGCGGCGGTGCCGTCTGAGGTGCCTGCGAGGGCGTCTGGTGGGGGGAGATGGCGAGTGGTCGCTTGCGGCGCCGCTGTTGGGGTTGGGAGAGGGTAGTGACGTTTGCGAGCGAACTCTGCTGGCGCGGTAGTTGGCCGCGTTGGGTCGGAGACGAACGGTGGGGAGAACCCGTCGCCGCTGACGGAGACGCCTGTTCCTGGCGGTGATCCAAAGGCATCGTAGAAGGAGATTGCAGGTGCTGCTGATCCTGAGCCTTGGTCCTGAACTGTTCCTGGGTAGCTGGAGCCGAAGCCGGAGGTACCTGGACGAACGCCCGTGCCTGGGCGGGAGGAGGGGGGAGGAGCCCGATCGAGGAGAATTGAAACTGGTGGTAGGGTCTCCCTTGAGCCTGTGCCACCTGCGCTGCTTGGGAGCCCGCTGGACCCAGGCCTTGCGGAGAGAGGAGAGGTTGCTGAACTACCTGGGTTGGCTGATTGGGGTCCATAGGGCTGGACATGGTGCTCGTTGTGCTGGTTGCTGAACCCGGCTGGTCCGACGGCATAGGTTGGCCTGTGTGATTGGAGCTGGTCATAAGGAGACTGCTGGAAGCCGTAGTGCTGCTGCTGCTGCTGGCCGATGGGGGAGGAGGGAACACGTGATTCGTAAAATTGGGTGGAAAGGGACTGGTTGGAGAAGCGAAAGGAGTGCCCTGAGCGAGGAAATTGGCCACCGGTGCTGGCAGGGGAGGCGCCGGCGGCGTTGAAGGAGGGGGCGCCGGGTGGGAATCCTGGGTTGGCCCGAAAGGATTGGTCCGCCCCTCGAGGGGCGGACCAGGGGTTATGTTGTTGTTGGGCGGAGGGGAGTGTTCCAGACTGAAAATAATCCCCGCCGTGCTCGGCGGGGTAGTTGACTTCATAACCAGCGGACGTGTCAGGCCTGGCGTGTGGATTACGCGGTATGATGCGAAAACCACGTGTAGGGCTATTATCGTTGTAATCCTGGATGCCACCAGCGCTCAAAGACCCCTTGTCGTTCATTGGCGAATCCTGTCCATCGCCAAGCCGAGGTCCATTCGTGGAAAGTATCGAATGCAGCTGACCCAGATCGCGCATCATCTGCTCGTTCTGGTCAGGGCGATCGGCATGCACGGTGTGCGCGTGCTGGCGTAGATTATCTAGCCGTGAGAACTGCTTCCCACAATGGCATTTGAACGGACGTTCTCCGGTATGTTTCCTGAAATGAACGCGTCGATTACGTGGAATCGATAGTTGTAAAAAGCGGAGATGGCGTACCTGACGTGGCGAGCAAGATGCTCTGATCTGCTGAATACCATCCTGCATTCACCATAACCCCTGCACTGAAATGTCTTTGCTGCTGGACCACGATACTTCTTTGCTGGTGGAGGACCATGATTTGATGTTGCGAGAGTGCCCTCCATTGCTTGTACGAGGAGGGCGGGGGAAGGAGAGGGAGAGGGGGGGAGGGGAGGGGAGGAGGAGGAGGAGGTGTGGATATTGAGCGATGAAATGGCGGTGTAGATAGATGGAGGAGGGAGGAGAAGAAGAGGAAGAGCAAAGCCAGCGCTGTGTGGGTGGGAACGAGACCGGCCTTTCGGAAGCAGGTGAGGGAAGGGAGAAGAACGAAGAAGGTCGGGCGCGTGTTCTGTCTGTGTGGGTCGATAGATTAAGTTTGACTGTCCTTTCAACGCGACAGTGACTTCAATAGTGCCAAAGGTCGGCTTGTGGTCACTTCTCTCCAAGTTGAATATCCCTCTTCAACCCTGTCAATGCAATAGTCAGAGAGGTGAACGTCGGTCGTTCTCCTCTTCCTCCCCACCGACAGCAAAGAAATACCCCCCCTCGCGTGGTCGGCCCGTATGTGCTCCTCTTCTGTCTCTTGGATGTCTTCCCTCCAACTAATCCAATCTGGCTCCGACTTCGGAAGCGAAACCGACTCGGGATTACCCTAGAGGGCGAATCTGTCGGTTGAATAAACACACACACCTCCAACAATTTAATCCGTCTACAGATTCTAGCCTCTCGGAACCGGCTTGTCCTGTCACTCCGTGTGGTCAGCGGGGTGAATGGAGGGCAAGACCGGGGTGAGGCAGCAATCGGAGATTGGAAAAAATAGCACCCGCGCTTGCTCGAATCCCGCGAGATCGACGTCAGCAGAGACCACCTCCTCTGCCGGCACAATGTCACTCGGATGCAAATAGAGGGCAGGACCCCAGGTGACACCCTTATGAGAGGTTGATCAGACGTGTCCCGCGGGTTAGGGGATATCAAGAGACTCTGTGGGGAGGATGTAACCTTTTCCCCCTCGATATTCAGGGGCGGGCCGAGCGGTGGGAGAAGGGCGCGTCGCAAGAGGGGGATAAGCGACGATGAGGGACAGGGAAGAGGGGCAAAAGTGTGCCACAGTCGTCACTCGCTCGCCTGTTATATGAGCGTTCTCGGGGCCGCAAGCTGACGAAATTGTCTTCTCTCGCTCGGGGAGCGTGGCCAGCGAAGGCGACTGTCCCGCGCTTGACCATGCCAGAATAAGGAAGAAGGGTTGCTTATGCAGAGACGCCCAGGTGGGCTACTCATGAGATACCTCAATGTATGCTCACACCCGTCACGCGATGGTCTCCCCGCCTTCTTCTCTCATCCCCCGTCTACCGCCTGCCAGATGTGCAATGCTTATCCGTCCCAACCGGCCAACTCAATTCGACTTGCTCGTGTTTGCCCGGGACAACGTATTTTGGCGTCACTTCACATACGTTGACATAATTTTCACCCGTCGTCTGGCCAGCGCTCCAATATCCACCCATGCCGACAACGGGAATCAACACGGCTACTTGGTGATCGTAGCCACATCCGTTTATCCCCCTGAACAATAAGTAACCAGGGCAAGGCACATCCGTTCCTATATGCTGTGCTCCCCCCATCGCTACTGTGCCTCGTCGACGCTCTCTCACCCATCACGATGCGACGACGACGACTTGAACGGTGTCTTATCCCGTAAAGCCTCACCACCAGTATTATCATATCGTCCAGCCCTCAAAGATGGTCCCTGCCTCCCTGTTCTCCGTGAACCCTGTGTATCGGGCAACACAGACCCTCATATACATTCCCCTTCCACCAATCAGAGGGTCCCTCGGGGTCCTTGGCATTTGATCCTTTGTCGAAAGAAGGCAAGAGCACGAGAACACGCTCTCGGTCATCAGCTTCTCTCGGGTTTGCTCCACAACAACAGCCGATATGTACAGCAACCATAACAGGGCATCTGTCAGTGCAATTATAATCCAAATACGGCGATCACACTGCACTTATATCTTTCAATTTGCTATAATTACAACCGGAATAATAAACACCTGACTCATTTACGTTCATTCGGGACTTACTCGCTCGCAATGAAAATGGAAATGCTTCTTTCATCGCTCTTCCACCCTTTCCAGAACCCCGGCCGACCTTCTCCCGCCGCTTATTCCAGCCACCCCTCCCAGCTGTGCTGCTTCCCTTGTCTTCCAAGAAGCCCTATTGTCTCCCTTTCTTCACTTTCTTCATCCACCTGACAATCCGATTCATATCAGTCCCTAGGCCCCGTCCTTTCCCGCAGCTCAACAGTTTCTTGACCCTTCCGCCGCTTCTCCCGAATATCCGCTTGAGCTGGAGGTAAAACTCTGGACTGGACCAATCTTCTTTGCACAGCTGGCTGCTCCTGAATCGCTCTCTCAATCTCCCGTACTCACAGCGGTGACCCGAGAATCGCCGGAGGATGATTGCAATTTCCATCATTGTGAAAAACTTCAACCCAAAACAGCATCCCGGTACCGCCGAGCTCCATCAACCTCCTGTGCTGGCACAGAATCGGAGCGAGTCCTCGGCATTCCTGATGTCCGACCCTCGGGATCGGCACCGGTACTGCCATGGAGATCCAGTAGCGCCGCCAGCGCGACATCGATTGTTCTCAAACAACAATCGGGTATGCGCCACAAGTCATTGACGACAATGGAAAAAACCAGCCCAATGTGGCTAGCTGCCTCGCTAAGAAGGCTTGCCAGCACACTGGAATTTTGGTCGTGGTCGTGGTGAGAGAGGCCTTCAATTTGCGTAGTGTTTCAATCATGTTCAGTTATCGACAGTGACTATTCTCAATCACAAACACATTCTTCAATTCGTCAATATAATTCATCAAGCCAGCGGAGCTCTGTGCTAAGTCTCAAAGAGGAGTAAACAGCGCCCCTCTCCTATGTACTGGAGGTCGTCGCATAGGCAATTCACGTCGCGGGAATCCCTCAAACTCAAACCCAGGGGCAAACAGCATATCCCTCGGAGTTCCAAACAGTCTACAGCTCGACAAATAGTGTCGTTCTACCGCAGCATGTTGTTCTCGAGGTGTCCTCGGGTTGATCGCAATTACGCCCCCGCAGGTATAGCACCAGTGAGTGTTGCAGCCCGGGGCGGAGCAAGCGATGTGATTGCAACCCGTGATCTTGTCTGTGTTCGTCTTGCATGTTGGGCAGGGCTTCCAGCCCCGTTGCCGCATAAGCGATTGAAGCTCCTCTATTCCTTCACAGTCGTGTTTCGGTCCACCAAATGGAACCGTTTTGTTGCATGCCTTGCACCACTGGTGGAAGCAGCCAGGAAGAGGACAGAGAATCAACTGAGCGGTATTGTACTCGGCCTTGTCCACGTGAGCAGAGCGATCACACTTGGTGCAATGGATCTCAACAGAGAAAACTGCAAGATCAAGCTCGTCCCAGTGCCTCGCTTGATCCCCCGTCAAGCCCAGTTTGTCAGCCACTTCACGAGAGATGGCTGGGCAAGATACATCAGATCACACCCGACAGATCAACAGTCATGACTCACAAGTGGGATCCTCGGCTTCGTCGGCAACACAGGTAGGGCAGCATATCGGAAGCTTGCCCGCATCCAATCTTGATGCAACATAACTCTTCAAACATTCGCGACAATAGGGATGCCCGCATGGCTTAAGTGTCTCGGCGTCCTCTTCAGTCATGTCGTCCAAGCAGATCGCACAATCTTTGCGCCTCGGTTCAGTATGGTTGATAACCCTTAGTGTGCCTTGGCGTGGACGTATCGGGTGTATTCTTGCGGCGTCATCGATGCGCTGGGGGTAGGGAAGGATAGGATAATGGGGGATCCTTGGTCTGTCCATCATCTCCATTCGCATGTCTTCTCGAAGCATCTCTTGCAACATGAAGAGCCGTGCCCACAGGAGCTCCCGTTCGAGATCTCGAGCAGGTCGAGGGACGAAGACGCCAGGCATCGGTGGAGGCATTGGTGGATTGACAAGTTGGTCTTCTTCTACCACCTCAGCCGGCGGATTGATATTGGCCGGGGGAGACTCATGCGGAGGGCCAGCAGCTGAGATCTGGGCCTCCTGAGCTGGGCGTGGCTTCGGGCTGTTCGCTTGTTGCCGTGTAAGCGGTTGCTTGCGAGGATAGTGCATGGAAGGCCTCGCTGAGGTGGATGTTCCTGAGACAGGGGCGGGACTCAAGAAGGATCGCTGGTCAGAAGGCGTGGTATTGGAGGCTGAAGAGGTAGGTACCACAGCAGGCTGATCGCCATTTCTGGGAGAAGGCCTCGCAGCCGGTGCGGGTGCAGGCCCTGCTGGCGCATGTTGTCTGGTACTAGTGCTGGGCGTGGCCGACGCGTGCTGGATATTAGCGTCTTGGTCGCTCAGTGGGCGAGAAATCTCAGAAGCAGCCGCTGCAGCCCGTCTAGCTGCTTTCTCAGAGACAGGTTTGTCGATAGGAGGGAATGCGATTGAAAGAGCCGACTTCGCCAAGAAGAGGGTAGGCTTCTGAGAAAAGAATAGAGTAGCAAGAGCCGATGGAGGCATGAGATGGTAACGGGGAATATTGAGTGCTGTATGACCTGGATCTGCCCGTGTATGAAGACCATTATATATACCTCGTATTTGTACGGACTCTCGTATCAGAGCAAAGAGTGGGCGCCTAACCAGAAGTTCGAGTCGCAAGGGTTCTCACATCCGCATTTCCGACACCGCCTCACCCCCTTGAAGAACAACACAGCAGGTTTGGGGCTTTCAACTGATATGAGAACATATAAGCGCCAAATCCCGGTTCCAAGGATTCCCGGCCCGATGGTCACACGGCAGAGACACGAAATACGAGCAAGACACTACGTATAACTAGACCGCGTCTACAGATACATCTGCTTTCGGCGCATCAGTTTCAGTCGGGATACTGGAAGTGGTGAGAGTGGCGGGGGGCGGATTGATGACATTCTCCAATTCCAGCAGCCTGCATAACGCCTCGGTTTGGGGATTAGTATACCAATGTACTGGAATACAAAAGTTAGGGATGTGATGGAGGATCAGATATGTCGCACTGACTTCCTCTTGGTTGGGCGGTCCCACCGACCGCAGTCTTCTTGAATTCTTGCACATCCGTCACAGGGATTGTCCCTCCGCGGGTCAGATGGGTTTTGATCCACTTTCCCTCACGTTCGACTTCTGTCTTCATGGTATTCAAATCGGGCATAGCTTGTTGATGTGCCTCCAGTGAAAGGTATGGGAAGGCAGCCCGCATAATTGCCAACCATTGAGGATTGAAAGTCATCAGTGGACCATGCGGCCCAATCGGTATAGGTGTGTCCACATCAACGATCTGCGTAGACAGACACTCGGCTTATGGACTAAATCACGAAGTCGAGGTGAAGAACGCACTTCTAAATATCTGCGCTTCGGTAGACACTTATCCAAGGCCAAAAACTGCGTCGATTCTCGCGTTGGCGGTGGTAACGGTGCTGGACACGTTTCCGTGGACTTGACACCAAAAACTCCATCAGCCTCCTGATTACCTGCATCTTCCTCATCATCCAGGGCGATTTCATCGGGGTTCTCGGACATCGTTCGAGCAGAGGCCTCGCCTTTGATTTCAGCATCAATCTTCCGATCTCCTTCATCCATGTCCTCGTCAAGGATGATTTCGTCGGGATTAGTCCCTGGTTCTGCCACAGCAGGCATTGCCACAGTTTTGGTTGGAGCGTCATGTTTGTAAACCGCCTCGAAGCGAGTATGCAAGTGAGCTGCAAACCATCGTTGGGGGCGGATGGTATTGAGTAATTGCAGTAGCGGCGGCGAGCCAAGAGTATTGGTTCGGATCTCTTCCTTGAAGAACGGCTTATGCCGGAGAAGACCTTGGGTATCGCCATGTTGTTCGATGGAGAGCGGCCAGTCATGAGAGATAAAGATGTCGGGTGACTCTAGCTAAAAGTCCGCTCAGCAGGGTCCATCGGTTAATAGAACAGGATCACATACGAGCATGAGGCGCTGGACGTCATAAATGCGTGTGTGGTAAATGGATCGCATATGACTTGAATTGTAGGGAAATCGCTCGTGATGGCCTATGTCCTTATTCAGCCTGAGATGACAACCGGAAGGTATCCTCAAACCCATTGTATAATGATCTGGCTTGTAGATTCCGGAGATACCAGCCAGGCGTAAGCCATTCACCAACACACTACCAGCGGATCCCAGGTAGTATATGTTCGGAGCAAGCCATCCACCATGATATAGCTCCCACATGTAGTTGCTCGCCTCATGGTTACCACCAATGACAATGGTCAATACGGGCGCCTTTGCCTCGCCGGTGTAATAACGATGGAAGCCGCCAAGTTTCTTGTATTTGTCCGGGACAGCCATGAACCGGAGATCGCCTCGATTGCGCACCGCTTGAAAATCACCACATATTAGAAGTAGGTCCACCTTATAGCTGCCTTCTCGCTCGTGTTTCGCTATTTCCGCGTATGTATTATCAAGCTGGCCATGGCAACATCCCTCGACTGCGATCTGAGACTTGATTAGGAAGGGTCCGTACAGTCAACTCGTGAGCATACCTTCATCTTGAACCAAGTTCTTCTTTTCTTTGCGGACGAGTTTCGTATCGACAGGGAACGGTGTTTCTTTCTGGGGGTGTCCTTCGGGAAATCCGATATATCACCGGAACTGCGAAATTGCAATGGCGGATGAGCACGCGCTGAGAAGACTCTGGCTATCTGAGCGCCAAGTGATATCCGTTCAAGGCTGCGCCTCTGAACTGCATGAGCAATCGTTATGGAAGACAGTTTGATACAAGAGCTCAAGCCTCGAGGAGGGTACTGAAGTGCAAATCAAAGGGATGTGGGAAATTCTGGTCCCGTTCAGCATATACGCGTCTATGAGTCGTGCATGAAGACATATGCTCTCACCACCATGGCGTGCACCCACTTTCCCATCGCAGCTCGCCTAATACCTCCAAAGATTTCTCAAGCTGTTCACCGCGAAGAATGTACTGAATGCTTCGACAGTCAGGACATGCCCCAGGGCATCGATGTATGCTTGCATTGCTTCAATGGCGGTTGTGTTGATGAGCAGGATGGACACGGCGCTGAGGGTGGCCGCCACCATGCCAGGATTCATTTCGAGAAGACGGGTCACCAGCTTGCAGTGAACATTCGGAGGGTGCGAAAGCCGCGTCCGCAAACGGTACGTCGGATCTCTGAGTCAACTCATCTGCTTACGAAACAATGACGGTGCTCCCAGGATAACGACGAGCCCCCGCTGAAGCGACTGGCAATCGGCGAGGAGAGAGAAGAAGACCAGTATGATTTCATCAGAACTGTGAGATGTTGGGGTTGTGGGGGAAAGCTTCTCCCCGATGCGATAAGCAACCTGCGTGTTGCGGCCATTGTCGATGGGATTAGCGAGTCGATGTCCTCTGCCCGCCAATCAGAGGTCAAAGCATGGGAGGAAGAAATCACCGCATGTGAACACACGCTCACGCTTCATCAAACCCCCCCATCAGCGATACCTCCGTCCGGATTGGCCCATTGCAGTAAATGTGATCTTACAGAGAATCTTTGGTTGTGCTTGGCCTGCGGCTCCTTGGGCTGCGGGAGAAAACAGCACGGTGGTGTTGGAGGTAATGGCCACGGTCTCGAACATTATCTGGAGACGAAGCATCCTGTCAGCGTCAAGCTGGGCACCATCACTCCGGAAGGCAGCGCTGACATCTTCTGTTACGACTGCGACGAGTCACGTCTCGACCCTGAACTGGCTTTCCACCTTGCCAACTTCGGCATTAACGTTGCTATTCAAACCAAAACGCAAAAGACTCTGACAGAGCTACAAATTGAGCAGAATCTTCACTTCGACTTTTCTCTCACGGATGAACGTGGCCGAGCCTTGGAGCCGGTCTTCGGCAAAGGTCTCACTGGCCTGGCTAATCTCGGTAATAGCTGCTACTTAGCTTCGACTGTGCAAGCCCTGTTTGCTTTACCGCAGTTCCAGAATCGTTATCTTCCTTCAGCTGAACTTCATGCCATGCTTTGCCCTGTCAAGGACCCTTCCCAATGCTTGGACTGCCAGATGCACAAGTTGGCCGACGGGTTGCTTAGCGGTCGATATTCCAAGCCAGCTTCGCATCAAACTCCCCCACCTGTCTCTTCCGATCTCAACACTATTTCTGACGACGCTATGCCTGCCCCTACGTTCCAGGCTGGTCTCAAGCCATCAATGTTCAAGGCCCTTATTGGAAAATCACACCCAGAGTTTTCCACCATGCGCCAGCAAGACGCTTCCGAGTTCTTGACGTATCTTTTGCAACTGCTACGCCGAGACGGTCAACGCAAATCTGTCGACGCTTCGATGGAACCCCCCCACATCTTTGAATTTGGCACAGAGCAACGCCTTCAGTGCAAGAAATGTAATGGGGTTCGATATCGCGTCGACGAGAACGAGATTGTTGGCATTAACGTTCCAGTTCGAGAGACAGGAAAGATGACTGAAGACGCAAAGATAGTCTACGAGTCAGTCACTCTAGAAGAGTGCCTAGAGGCTCTCCATGAAGAAGAGGAGATTGATTATCGCTGCCCGCGGTGCAAGACAGAAGCACAGGCAGTTACGCAAACTAGCTTTGCGAGCTTCCCCGACGTCCTGGTCATCAGCCCCAAGAAGTTTCAGCTAGTTAATTGGGTACCGCAAAAGCTCGGTATGTGCACTTCCACCCATCCGGGATCATGTTGAGATCTTTGTAGACGTACCGCTGATCGTGCCCATCGATGGCACTCTCGTCCTCGACAAATATCTCGGGACGGGTCAACAGGAAGGAGAAGATCTCCTTCCCGAGGATGCGCTGGGTGAGTTTCATCGATATTTCCCTATGCGTGGTCTAAAAGCCCTCAGAAGGTGCGACATTGCCTGAGTTCAATGCCACTGCGATGAGTCAGCTTGAGGGAATGGGTTTCCCCACTGTCCGGTGTCAGAAGGCGTTACTGGCTACTGGAAACTCAGATGCTGAGACCGCCATGCAGTGGCTGTTTGAGCATATGGAAGATCCTGGTGCGTAACACCATCATTGGTAGCGGAGCGGCTAGCTCACCCAAATCAGACATTGATGAACTGATCGCCTTGGGGTCCGCCACCGCGAGTACCGGCCCGGAAGCGAGTCCTGAACAGATATCAATGCTCTCAGACATGGGATTCACCCAAGCGCAAGCAAAAAAGGCTCTCCACGAAACAGCAGGCAACATGGAACGGGCGGTGGAATGGTTATTCAGTCACCCTGAAGCTGATGACGATGCCGTCGTTGAAGAGCATGTTCCGGCGCCTGCCAAACCTATCCCCGGTTCAACTGTCCTACCCGCAAAATATACCCTCAAGGCATTGATATCTCACAAGGGACCATCGGTACATTCGGGTCACTACGTAGCGCATATCAAGGAACCTGAGCTCGGATGGGTGTTGTTCAATGACGAAAAGGTGGTGAAAGCGGATCAAGAGAGCGTAGAGAGTCTGGGAAAGCTAGCATACTTGTATGTGTTTGAGAAAGCGTTGTAGAGACATGACGCAGGGTTGAAGTGAATACTGCCATCCAACAACTCATTGCGTGTACAAATGAAATCAATTCAAGAAACCGATGTGGATGGATAATCATTGTGGGTAACTCGGGCAAACATCGGTCCGATGGCGTTAATAGACCCCTAATGAGGCCCCTACGGTGACGGTATGTTCCTCGAGCTTACTCGGACCGCCTCCACATCTGGAGCGGTAGATTCTCCGCCATGTCGCCGTGTCTCCATCTGCTCCTCACCAACAATAAACGTACTTCTACTCATCTGAATTCCTTTTCCATCGTCTCTCTTCCCCGTATATCCCTGCCAGCGAGCATCGTTACTCGCTACCCACTCCCGTGGAACCGCTATCGGACCCGGCATACATAGGAGCGCAGATCGATTCCCAACAATGGCCTCACTAGTGTCCGCTCTCTTACCTGGAAACAAGACCACTACAATCATGCCTAAGCCTTCAGATATCAAGAATGTCGATGTTGACGACCTCATCCGGCAGCTCAGCACTGCCGAGGCCTGCGAGCTTACCACTGGCGTGGGCAACTGGTATACTGCTGAGATCCCTAGGTTGCATATCCCTCGAATCAAGGTGGGTTACTTAATTGGGCTATTGGTGTGAACATTGCGCTCAGTTGCTCAACTAGGTGTCCGATGGGCCAGTACGAGACCACCTTATCATGTTCAGGGGCACATGTCTGATGTCCAGGGCAGAATGGCTTCCGTGGTAACAAATTCTTCAATGGAACGCCTGCCAAATCGCTTCCCGTACGACAGTGTTCAGAAATCTACATATCTTTCTGATCGGTTTACTATGTAGTGTGCGACGGGTCTCGCGGCGACGTGGGACACCGACCTGATTGGAGAAGTAGCTAGGGAGGTTTTGGCCTCCGAGGGCAGGTTGAAAGCTGCAGCCGTCTTGCTGGGACCGACGTGTAATATTCAGCGGGTGCGTACCATTGTTGGAAAAAGACAGGAAGTGAACCTCGACGTGTGAACAGTCTCCATTGGGTGGTCGCAGCTTCGAGAGCTTCTCGGAGGATCCCCATCTCAATGGTATGATGGCCGCTTTTTACATCTCCAATCTCCAGAAGAAAGGCATTTCGGCCTGTATCAAACACTTTGTGTATGCCGTCTACAATGATATTGGACCTCACTAACCTCGGCCCCTAGTTGCAACGACCAGGAGCACGAACGGATGGCAAGCGATAGCTTGCTTAGCGAGCGTGCCTTGCGTGAGGTGTACCTCAAGCCCTTCATGCTCGCGCAGAAATACGCCGACCCATGGTGCTATATGACCTCGTATATCCCTGCTTTGTTGTCACATGCGATGGCGTTGATACATGCGTACAGATACAACCGCATCAACGGCCTGCATTGTTCTGAGAACGAAAGGCTTCTCACTGATATCCTGAGGAAGGAGTGGGGTTACGAAGGACTGGTCATGTCCGACTGGTACGTGGTTTGGTACGCAGCGGCTCCTTCTATATGGTGCCCCTTTATTCTAGGTACGGTGTCTACAGCCTGGTCAAGTCCATCAAGGCTGGTCTCGATCTTGAGATGCCTGGGTATATTGCTTTGCAAAATTGATACCTTGCAAGCTGACGTAGGTTCAGGCTTGATGGCTGGCGTCAGACATCGAAGTTAATTCGCTCCGTTGAGTCTCACAAGCTCACCGTTGAGGATATCAAGTCCAGGGCAAAGAAGGTCTTAGAGCTTGTCCAGCGCATTGCTAAGGCATCACCAGAGGTGGGTCGGGGTTTCAGGGCTGCTGGATAGCAGGGTAACCCTGCATCTCAGATTCTCGACGGTGACCAACAGGAGCGCTCCGACGATCCTCCGGAGCACCGCGCTCTCCTCCGCAAGGTTGCGGGATCGTCTATCGTTCTGCTGAAGAACGAAAATCACGTCTTACCATTAAACCCACAGAAGACGAAGAAACTGGCCATCATCGGCCCGAATGCCAAGGCTGCAGTCATTGGTGGAGGTGGATCTGCTTCGCTGAATGCGTCGTACATTGTCACACCTTTTGAGGGCATTATGGCCGCGCTTCCCAAGGATGTCGAAGTTGCATACGCTGAAGGTTGCCAAGGTGGGCCTCCACAGCCTCAGAGAGAGTCGAGCTCAATCTCATCTTCTTTCTAGCGCACAATCGCGCCCCGGCACTTGAGCAGGATATCGTTACGGAGGATGGTCGCCCTGGCTGGATTGCAACCTTTTACGAGATGAAGGCAGATGGTACTCTTACCTCTCCCGTCGACACAGTGTACCTTGAAGAGACGTATCAGCTCATGTCGGATGCGGACATCAATTTAAAAGGAGTCAGCTGGTGGGCGATTTTCAGAGGCAAGCTTCGGCCGCGCAAGGAGAAGGTCAAGTTCCGCTTCGGTCTAACTACTGCCGGCCGTGCCAAACTATTCGTGAACAACAGCTTGGTCATCGACGTCTGGACAAAGCAGAGACGTGGTGAGGCGTTCTTCAATTCCGGCTCTGAGGAAGAGTTTGGTACCGTGGAGATCGAGGCTGGCTCCGCTGCTGACATTCGCGTCGACTTTTGCAACTTGTCGGCACCGACTGATTCTGACGCGAGCGAGAGGCCCAATGCGAATGCGGGCATTCGCTTGGGTGGCTTCGAGGTGCACGACGAAGAGGAATCGCTCCAGGAAGCTGTCGATGTCGCCAAGTCTGCGGATGCGGTGATCGTCATCGTGGGCTTGAACGCCGATTGGGAAAGTGAGGGCTACGATCGCAAGGATCTAGAACTCCCAAGGAAGACCAATGAGCTCGTCAGTCGCGTTGCGAAGGCAAACACGAATCATGTGGTCGTAATGCAATCGGTATGTTGCACATTGAACCTGAGAGATGAAGGGTCACTTAGAAGAGGAATAGGGTTCCGCTGTTACTATGCCGTGGGTTGATAACGTGTCCGCACTCGTGCAGGCGTGGTACCTGGGCAATGAGACAGGGAATGCGATTGCGGACGTTTTGTTCGGCAAGGTCAACCCATCTGGCAAGATGTCGATCACCTTCCCTAGACGGCTGGAGGATACACCGTCGTACTTGAGCTACGGGAATCAGAACGGCAAGGTATGCAATCCACTGGGTCAGATCCATACATGCCAGTGCTAATTGTTACAGGTACGCTACGCTGAAGATCTGTTCGTGGGCTATAAGCATTACATTGTCCGTGACATCAAACCCCTATTCCCATTCGGGTAATGATATATCGCCCCGTCCGCATCAAAACCATGATAATAACCTGTTTTACCGCAGGTTTGGGTTGTCTTACACAACGTTTGAGTATTCCAACCTCGAGGTTGGCAAGTCAACTTCAAAAGGCGCCGACTTCACAGCTGCCGTCAAGCTCACCTTGACCAACACTGGGCAAATCATCGGCTCAGAGGCCGTGCAGGTGTACATTGCTCCGCCTGAAGGTCTACTCACACGCCCTGCTTTCGAGTTAAAAGCTTTCAGCAAGGCGCGCGATATCCCAGCAGGCAAAGAAGTCAAGATCACGCTCGAGCTCGATAAGTACGCTGTGTCATACTATGACGATCAAGCGATGGCGTGGCGCGCCGACAAGGGCGAGTATGGGGTGTTCATTGGTGCTTCCAGCGACGACATCAGACTGAAGGGAAGGCTCGTCTTGGAAGAGAGCTTCACGTGGACTGGGCTGTAGGCAGGCGTGCATATTTGCTGTTCATCGTACGGCGAGGTTCAAGCGTCAATGAAACTTATCATTTTATATGCTGTTCGCCTGCCGCGTGCGGGGAACAGACTGAACCATGCCAGACAGACTAGTGGACTAGGAATAGTTACGGAACGCTTGTGTCAGCCTAATCAAGGCCTCCTGCCCTGGATGCGGGGCCTGGTGTCTTGGCCGGCCCTTAGTGCTATTGAAAAGATATTCAATATGGTGCCTGAGGCTATGAATATTGAGCTTGTCCGGCGGTATATCTCAGGGAGAGACAGCGACAAGCATATCCTCCGTAAGGGTAAAGTGCGCAGTGCGGACGAGTGATCGAACGCTATTGATATGTGTGCCCTTTTCCTCGGGTATTCGTCTTCCACATTTACCACGACGGGAAAGGGGAAACGGATCGGACCACGTAACAATGGCGAGTGCGTTGCATAATTGTGGCGCGGACAGATGGTGACTCCGCCGAGGCCGGGGAGATAATGGTGGCGACGCTGGGTGAACAACGGTCGTGGTTGTCGAGAAGAGCACGCGGGAAACACGGCGATAGAGACGTTTCCGTCGAATTCCAGACGTTGGGCGGAGGCACCTGGCACGGCCCATCCCACATTTCCTGTAATTCTCGAACTGTCTCGTCATCTCAATGAATTCGAAGAAAGCCAGGAAGGCACCGTCTAAAAGAAAGGAACTTGGATCAGTCTTCTATGATGATGATCCTTGATTTTTCGACGAGTTTTCCCTCTGATGGAGCCCTCTTGCGCTGTCCCGTAACTCAAAACGCATCAATGGCAGGGTGTTTCATATACCCTGGCACCGTCCCCGGTTGTGTGCACGTCTCTCCTTCGCGCTGTCGCCCCTTGCCTTTCTATCCTCTGTCACTCGGTATTCCTGGCGAGGTCGTTCGACGTTGACCTGCTTGACGACCTGCACGAAGCTCGTGCACCTTGAACCCGCACCCCCACATAGCACGACCGAACACCATTCACTCTCTAGCCACCTTACGTTCCCTGCCAACCGTCCTTTGATATACTCCCTTTCCCTTGTTACCAACCCACCTCCTTCACGACCTTGCGTACTCGCTCGCCTCCCACGCCTTATATCCCTGGTACCCCGCCTGAATGGCTGCCTCCACCTCCGACTCGGACGAGCTGCGTTCCCCCCTCCTCGCCCGTGCCGAGGCAATGGTCAACATCACTCTTGATGATACCTCGCCGTTCATTAGCTATTCCGATGGTTGGGGTGTGCAATCTCCACAAGATCCGAATCTGGAGTACTACTTGCAGGAGACATATCATGGCACGCAGACGATCGGATCAAATGCGACCATAGTCTTCTCAGGTGCGCTGCCCCGTATTCATAGCAGATTGTACAGGGGCTTACTCCTCCGTAGGTTCAGGAGTGTATCTCTACGGCTCAATGGGTCCAGCCCACGGTAACTTCGAAGTTTCCGTGAACGGAGCTCGCCAAACATTCTCCGGATATTCGTCAACACCCTTGTTTCAGCAATGTCTGTTCTCCTCCATGCTGGATGCGAGCTACAATGAGATCATTCTCATCAACATTGGTGGCTCAGGAGGGAGCTTCATGGACCTCGATTATATCATCACGACGGTTCCTGAGAAGTGCGTCTCATTTCTGAGACACATTGTCTTGCTTTCTAAATGTTCCATCAGCACCACCTTCCCTGCACCACCTTCTCTCGCACCGATCACCCCAAGTGGCGGGTTCCCCTCGTATGATTTCCTAGTATCCAATCCAACGAACTCTGCTGACTGATGGGGTAGTGCTTCTCCCACTTCTACCTCTTCATCTACCGGAGGCTCCTCGTTATCAACGTACGGCGAGCTTATTCACTCAATTAGAACCACTACTAAATGACGTTCCTAGCGCATCCTCCTCCTCTACTTCCACGACTGTGACCACTGTCCTTACTATTGTCTTCGCCATCCTCACCGTTGTGTTGCTCAGTATTATTGCATTCCTCTACATGCGACATCGTAGACGAAAGCAGGTTGAGCAGGAGCATCTCTTCCGATATGGACGTGGGCCTGCAGTGTCGCCCTCGCCACAACCCGATCTGATGACAAATCTACACTGGACGTCCCAGGCGCACACACAAGGTCCTGCTGGAGGTGGCTCACCCAACATGGGGTATCCCCCAAGACAGAGCCCAGTGACATCATCACTAGGCGCAAGCTACCAACTGCAGGCGGGAAGGAGCAAAGGAAAGAACCCACCCAGTACGTTTCTGCCGGGATTCGATGCATGACACGACCGCTCCAGGAAGCATCCCTGCGACGAGCCTCACGATCTACCCCCATTTCCCGTCTTTTCTTGTCTCGGCACGTCGTAAATCACTGTGTCATACGCACAATTTTGCACGACACCGCCCCTTTTCCTCATATTCGTTACCTGTATGAATTCCATTTGGGATCCGGAGGAGGTTTTGCGGCCTCCTGTCTAATTTTATATTGTCCCGCGCTCGTCGGTAGCGCATGCAATATTGTAAATTCAATGTTCCTTCCCACATCTTTGTTCTTAACACACCTATAAAAACTCGAGAATAGTAAAAAGTCACCGAAGGCACGTGACTTAAAAACACGCGCCGAACGCTTCCGTTTTGCGTGTCTCGACCTCACCACCGTCCCCGCCGTCGCCGACGTCCTCAGTCCGCCCAGCTTTTCGTCAACTCTGCCACCACCATCTCCCAAACCTTCATCATCAATGGCTCAGCAACCCGCGGGGCGAAGAGACTCACGTATACATCTCCAGCTACGACACAGCGATGCCCTGCAAGAACAAGAAGCTTGTGAGCTGCACATCAACCAATGAGCGATGGCTGCTGACTTAACGATAGTTCGACGCAAGTATCTCCTCGTAAACAAGCATATCACCAAACTCAATGCCGGATTAAATATGAGAGTTGAAGAGCTCAATGCACAGATCACTCAGCTGAACTCGGAGAATATTGCATTGAGAGCGAAGACGATCGAGTTAACCAGAAAGCTGGCGGCGGAGCAGGCGTCCACACGCCGAACAATAGCAGAGGCAGAGAGTATGGTGGGTGTCTGCCATATGTGTAAAAGGGAGCTGTAGTTGATGCCTCTCTAGGCGTCAAACGCTATACGACAGATGGTCTCGCTCCGTGATGCTTTCGCCAACATGGCTAGCCCAATCATTGTACCGCCTTCTCATCTGCCAGCCGTTGGTCCACCAGAACCGGTTACTCGAACAATACTTGCGAAGAAGCCGGATGTCTCATTTATTAGAGAGACGTCGCAAGAGGTGGAGGACTTGCCATTCCTGTGCGTTCCGGAACCGTCTCCTTTCTATGAAGGCTAAACCCTTGTATAGTGGTCCTAAACCAGAATACGACGGGACACCTTCTCCTCCGGGATCTGCGGCCTTCATAACCTCTAGACGGACTTCTCGTCGATCCACGCTAGCCACGCGTTCGAGTCTACCTGCAGTTTTGCCACCCTTGTCTCAGCCCACAAGTGCTGAACCCATCGTGCTACCCTCTGAGGAAGAGGTGGAATCTGAGCTGGATACACCCCCATCCGTACCCGCTAAACTATCCACTCATGGCAAGATGAAAACCTTAGAGGCCGTCCTTTCGCGGCAAAAGTCCCCTGAAGTTGACGATTACATGCCACTTCCTGGGTCGACACGAAGACGGTTAGCGAATAAGGAAAATGACATGGACGCGTTGAAGGAGGAATCAGGAGAAGGTCAGTCGTACTCTTATACTGACAACGATCGTCCTCTCACATCTCAACAGAGACCAATCGCACTTCCACCGTAAGGCGTGCTATGCGGCGACGGGCGGTCACTCCACCACCTGCTGGCGTGGAGCCACCTGATACCCCTGTTCCAGCTAGTAGAGTTTTGCACGCCCAATCAGATATGGGAGACTTCGATGCATCAACGGACGGACTAAGAGAGCGGCGCGCTCGAAAAAGTGTCAACTACGCTGAACCTAAGCTGAACACGTGAGTGTTTCTTCGTTGATTGATTCTTGCCTTGACGGTTGTCTGCAGCAAGATGCGAAAACCAGAGGGGTATGGTGAGGGGAAGTTAAAGCCGAGGGTTTCCAACAGCATGAAGGAAGACATACTGCCGCTCAGCGGGACGTCCAGCAAAGCACCTTCCAGTTCTTCAGGCCGATCAAAGGGTACAGGTCTAACGGCTCCTACAGGGCTGCAGATGCTTCCATCAGACACAGAAGTTGAAATGGTCACCTCGAGAACTAAGACTCGGCGGCATTCTACTGCGCTCTGAAGTTTTCCTCCATTTTTGGTCAACAGTTCATCTTATTGCTTAGGGCACTTATAGCATGTATCACCATCACAGGATGTCAGCAGGATGTACAATGTTAATTAATCGAGCCCCGTGTCACAGACATGTGGCGGATCACTATCCGCATTCTACATACATGATGCGAGATGTCAACCTAGAAAATGCGCTAACTATCCGTACATAGACCGCTCAACTTCAGTGTTCATCAGACGAGACCACTACAACACGTTGACATCCTCTTTCAACTTCGAATGCATCCTCCTCTAGCAGGTTGCTCAGGTCTTGAGCTGCCTGATCAACATTGAACTGGCTGTTGAATGGCGTTGGCTGGCTTGAGTGGGCCCGGTCAGGAGGGACACCATGCTTCGCGTCGAGTTTTGAGAAAGCGAACCGAGATATTGTACGCTTTGGTGGAGACATATTGATTGGGGTTGATGGCTTCAAACTGTCCTTGGACTGCGTTCGTGTGGCAGCAGGTTTTGAGTGAGGAAAGCTCAACCTTGTCTGCGTAGCGGACAACTGCGATGACGACGACTTGGAGAGAGCTACGGGGGTTGAGGTCGCTTTAGGTGTACCCAACGAAAGCAATGGTGAGATGGTAGAGCGAGAGGAGAATGTGAGATCGGGTTCTTGATCGGTCAACCGTAGTGGAAGGGGAGAAGGGTAGTGGTTGGGGGTTATCTTGTTCATCCTTCGATCCGTCTTCTGCCTCTCCAACTCCGCTGCATGTTCTTCGCACTCTGGTAACACGAGATCCTCTTCATCATAGGTTTCTTGTCTCCCACTTCCGACGCCCCACTTTGAAGCGCCTGGTCCGAAGGGTCCTCGCAGCTTGGTGGAGACCAGATACAGATCGAGGATCTCTTTGTCACGGATCTGGCATACGAGGGTGTCTATTCGGGATTCAGAGGCAGGAGATGTTGGCCGTGAAACAGGGGCGAGCAGGTATGGTAGATGCAACGCTAGACCTCGCTCGTCTCTGATCGGGCTTGACGACGGTGTTGCACGAAACGAGTCCGGCGATGTTGGTGGGTGTTGCGGTTGGAGGGGTGGTATAATGGTCCGGTATGGAACAGAAAATACGACAGCCATTGCAACAATTGATGAACACCAAATCAAGGAAAATAAATCCAGCCCAGAGAAAGATTGAAAGAGATGCGAGAAAAAAAAAGGTTGACTGGGTGAACAGACAGTGAGTTGGTTGACCGCGGAGCCGAAGGAAACTCCGGGTGGAGCGGAAGTGCTTCCGCGTCGCGTTTAGAAGTCAATCAGCTTGTCGCTGTTGTATTCTCAACCCTCTCTACCACCACCACCCTCTCCTCTTTTCTCTCTTTCCTACAGGTTGTTGTGCACTCAATGTCGTCGCTTCAGAAAAGGCAACGGGATTACTCTCCAACACGTGAACACAAGCGTCGGCGTTCTGATAGCCCTTCTCGGGAGAGGACTGAATCGCGCATATATCAGGATGACCGCAGACACCAGTCGAGCAGCAATCGCACTGGTGGTCACCGTACTCAACGAGATAGCGAGTGGCAAGATAGGCATCGCGATAGAGAGAGGGACAGGGATAGAGGAAGGGACAAGGATAGGAGGGATAGGGATAAGCATAAGCATAGGGGAAGAGGACGAGACAAGGACCCGGAACGATACGATCAACAGGACTTGCGTAAGCGTTCCCGTGAAGAGAAGCGTATTGAACAGGGGATAGACTCAGAAAAAGAAGAGGGAGAGTGCGTACAACTCCGTATCTTACTTCCAATTCTGACAGAGCACTCAGAATATCGGCACCCTCCACGCCACGTAGTCCGTCACGAGCCACGTCTTCAGCTCCTGTACCCCTTGCACAAGTAGGCACCCAGACGGAGAAGGAAATCAATCCGAATGAGCAAACTTCCGATGATTACGATCCAGCACCTCGACCTCCCTCCCCGGATCCTGAGAAGTTACTCGCAGAACGTCGCGCGAAACGCCAAGCTATCCTTGCCAAATATACGTCGCAACCTCAATCATCTGCAACTACGCCTCGAGAGCAGTCTGTTGCACTTCCTCAAGTCATATCTGATATCGTCAGCGCGAAAGAGGAGCAGAGTTCAGCTGTTGGGAGCGGTGCGACCCTGCGCCCGCTCGTACAAAGTCACAGAGGAGCTGATCATAAGAGTCAGATCAAGAATGTATCAGGTGTAAATATCGACGAAACCGATGGGGATACTTCTGGAAAAGGGGAGAGTGAGTATTGCAACAATCTATTGTGTGTTTAGATGACTAACTTGATCCCTAAGTCTTCGACCTTTCCAAGGAGGATCAGGTCGCCGCCCCCGGGAACGAGACACTAAACGGCGTGGGTGGTGCAGACGACAATCAACGTGATCAAGTATCTGCTGCAGATTACAACCCCGACGACGATCGTCGCTTAGACGAACTCCGCCGTGCGCGTGTTACCGTCCCGCTACCCGTCTCCCTCGCCGATACTCTCGACGATGAAGACGACATGTTCAACATGGGGAAAAGATCCATACCCAAGGCTGATATCATTCATGTACCGGTCCCTGTGGCGCCCGGAAATCTCCAGGTCCTTGCCGATTCTGGGTCAGATGAAGAGGGATATTATCGTGTCACTCTCGGAGAGCTGCTCGACGGGGGCAAATACCAGGTCTTTGAGTCTTTAGGCAAGGGCATGTTTTCAGGTGTGGTGCGCGCTCGAGTTTTAGAAGGCAGGAGTCAGAGCCGGGAGGTCGCCATCAAGATTATTCGTGCTCAGGAAACCATGTGTGTTCAGTTTTGGCTCTATTCTCCGCTGTTGATTGACCTTGTCCTAGGTATAAAGCCGGACTGAAGGAAGCTCAAATTCTCAATAAATTGATGCAAGCCGATCCGGATGACAAAAAGCACGTCGTTCGTCTCGAGGCCACATTCGAACACAGGGGCCATCTGTGCTTAGTTTTTGAGTCTCTCAGGTAATGTGGCTTCCTGTGAGACTATGACTCGTGTTGACTCTGGACAGCATGAATCTGCGCGATGTTGTAAAACGGTTTGGGAAGGATGTTGGTCTAAATATCAAGGCCGTTCGTGCCTATGCCCAGCAGATGTTTCTGGCCTTGGGCCTACTAAAGAAATGCTCTATCATGCATGCAGATATCAAGCCAGATAACATACTGGTATGTGCACATTCACTTCTTAAAGGCACTTCTCAACCGTCTAATGTAGGTGAATGAAAACAAAACTGTTCTGAAAATCTGCGACCTCGGTTCAGCAAGCGACACATCGGACAACGAAATTACTCCATACCTTGTATCCCGCTTCTATCGTGCACCCGAAATTAGTGAGTCAGGGACCTCACATTTTAAGTGGCATGTCTGATCCTGCTATTCTCCAGTCATGGGTATTCCATACGACACTGCTATTGACATGTGGTCCATTGGTTGTACACTGTATGAACTGTACACGGGCAAAATCTTATTCCCAGGTCGGACAAATAACCACATGCTACTGCTCATGATGGAGCTGAAGGGGCGATTCAACAACAAATTGCTGAAGCGAGCGCATTTTGCCGATAGCCATTTCGACGAACAAGGCTTGTTTCTTAGCGTTGAGAAGGATAAGGTGACTGGTGGCGTGCGTGCTCAAACCCTCTTGGTGAATTTTTATTGACATAACCACAGGATACGATAAGAAAAGTAAATATATCGAACCCGGCAAGAGATCTTCGCGTACGACTCATGCCCAACGCTGCTACCCTCGCGAACAAGACGCCCGCTGCTAGAGAAGAAGAGATTAAGACAATAACTGCTTTCATCGACCTGCTGGAAAAATGCCTCATGCTGGATCCGGCTAGACGTATAACCCCCCGAGATGCACTGCTCCATCCCTTTGTACGTTCTTAAATAGAGAGTAGTCGTCAGACCATTTAAACTCAGCATGAGTGACCCATTGTACCTTAACCCATCGCTGTCTGACAAAGGAATGTGGTTCTCCGGCCTTTTATTAATGAGGCACCGGATACAAATAGAGCAGCGGTGCGCGTATATAAACGATATAAAGGAGAAATAGAGAAGCACGATTAACTCTATGCATTCGCTGTCAGTGCATTGAGTTCCTTTCGCACATCTGCCTCGCCCTCCAATTTCCTGAGCTGCGTAATCTCCATCTTCTCCCCACGCTTCGCCTTCTCCTTCAGCTCCTCGATCGCTTTCAGCTGTACAATCGTCATTATCGGCAGGCAATAAGAAGTGACGCAAAGCCCGTACCTTTTTGTTCAGGCTGCGAATCTTCTTCGCTACAGGATCTAAACCCTCTCCACCTGGAGTAAAAGGTTCCATCGGCGAGTTTCCTTCAGCAGTAGAAGGGTTGGGATCAATGCTCAGTTTGGATAGAATTTCGGCGGGAGGCCGAGTAGTATTCCCATTGACCTGACCATCAACGGATACTGGTAGCTCGGTGCCGTTGGTATCCTTCTTCTTATTTGCCTTTCTGCGACGGGTTGGCTTCTCCTTTTCCTCAACGGGTTGTGCAGGAGCACCGGGAACATAACGATACCCACGTCCGCGATTGGTATAACCATTCGTCCCAGTATGTCCATTTGCGGGATAACCTTGCTTGGTGGGTGTGGTGGTGCCACTCCCCGAGATGTAAACCGCCCCGCCCTCATCCTCCCGTTTGTAAACATCCGGCGTTGCAGTTCCACGAGCGCCCGGGGGACGATATGCACCTACGGCCTTGGGAGGTGGGGACGCGGCGGTGGTCTGGATGACAGAGGCTGACGGGATAGGGCAGGTGGGGAGAGATTGACTGATTTCCGGCACATCAGTTATCAGAGCAGGTTTCCAAGTTGTCTATCATATCTGTGAGATTGAAATGCGAGGAAGCGTATATTACTTACTTGATACAGCTCGTCCTGATTGAATACATGCAGCATAGTGCCGGTACAGTGCCAAATCTTGATGCCATTGTCCACCCGGAGGCGAGGACTCAGTACTGCGGTCAAAAGGAAGAGACCATCTGGGCTCCACTCGCACCAGCTTGTATTTGGGGCTTCAATGAGGCAAACTTTGTTGAGCGTGCGGCGGTCGTAGATATCGATGGATCCAGAAAGGTTACCAAAACCAGCCACAGCAATCAACCGACCTTGAGGATTAAAGGCCACAAAGTTGCGAGGTCCCGTGGGAAAGTTATGAATGGGATTCACACGCTGATCAAAAAGGGTGGCCTTCGCCGGCATGTCTGTCGGAAAGGGAGAACTGATCAGATACCACGCGGGACCGTTGCAAGATGACTCACAGCCATAGATTACGAGGAACTCCTTTGAGTTCGGACTCCAAGTGAAGTCATGAATTGGCCCTTCTTTATCTGTTATAGTGGATGAGAAAGCCTACACAAATAGACGTCAAGCAGAAATGTCTTACCCAAGGTGACGCGACAGTCAAATGTGCCCGCCGCTGCCAACATGTATAGGTTGCTCTCGCCATAGTAACTCTTGTTGGTCTGATCCACCTCCGTCTGAGTCTGGAACAGAACATGGGTGCCCAATTTGTTCCACTTCACAACGATGCGGTCAGCCTTGTAAAACGTCTTCTGAGAGCTTGGCGGAGAGGCGAGCGTCAGAAGCGAATAAATGCGAACTGAAGCAGGTGCACCCTGCTTAAATTAGAAGCATTCATAACGGGAAAATAAATGATTCTCACCTTCTTCTCTCCGATGAAGACAGCTATCGATGGATTGGGGCCCGGGCTGAGTGTCACGGTCTTCATGCCTTCGATCCGCAGCTTGTCGACAACACCCCGACCCCAGTCGCTAGGACTGAAAACCTGAACCTCCTGTCCGACCTGGCGCACCGCATGTGTTTCGGCAGAGGTATACTGAAGATCCCTGCATCAAGTTAAGCATATATTGTCCTCCAACGCTGCAAGCTCAGCGCACCATCCTTCCAGGGTCTTTTGCGTCAGAGCGATAGCTTCTTCGCCGGTGGTCACATTCCACACGCGCAAGTTCTTGTGCTGCCTTCCATCCTCAAAGGTCAAAGGGCGTTCCCAAGTGGAAAGGTAGTTGCCCAGAGGGGAAAGGTTGAGCTCGATGACATTTTCAATGGGCAGCTCGCGCAAAGGCAAGAGCGTTTCAGCATGAAGGATGCGGACGCTACAATGGATTCAGACTAACATTTGTGCTGTCAATGAGAAAATCCTTACCACTTGGGAAGCGCATGCGCGAAGAATCGACCGTCCTGAGTATACTGAAACATGCGAGATGTTCCCTCCGGCCTAACGACGTGTAGGCAACAAGTTCTCAACTGAAAAAAAAGACACACTTGGGAAAATTCTCCAATTCATTATAAGTCGGAGATCCACCCAGCATGCCCATTGTCTTCTGAGCACGGACTAATGCTACGTCAGGGGTGATAAGGCATAAGAGGCGAGGTACTGACACGCAATCTGGTTGACAAACGGTGCGGCCATGATGACTGATGGAATTTCAATTGAGCGGGCGCGAAAGGAAGTGAAGCAAGTTAATGCTTCTGTTGTGCATTAGAAATAACGTCCCATAGTTTGCCAATGAGATACGACAAACCTTTGAGAGGGCGGTGAGCAGGAGCTGGAGGAGAGGAGAGAACTGCAAAGTGTGAATTTTCTTAGTGGCGGCCGACCAGCGCCAAAATGCCAAAATGTGTTCTGATCCCGCCATCACAATCACGTTCACCCGCCATTGCTGGCCGGATTAACTATGTGGCAGACAAAGCATACATAAGTCTTGATAAACCCATTCCACCCGTTCTTGTGTCTTTATCAACCCTGCTGTAAATAAACAAATATATGGCACTATTCTTTCTCTGAGCTGGACATCAGGGCTTACTGAAGACTAGGGTTAGGGTTAGGGTTAGGGTTAGGGTTAGGGTTAGGGTTAGGGTTAGGGTTAGGGTTAGGGTTAGGGTTAGGGTTAGGGTTAGGGTTAGGGTTAGGGTTAGGGTTAGGGTTAGGGTTAGGGTT